CACCTCCACAGCCTTGCTGACTGCATGTTGGCCCTCTACACTTGTTGTCTTGCCTCCTCCACCCTCATTGCCTCTCATACTGACACTATCCTTCCCATAGGTCGATTTGGCATCCCAATTTTCAAGGGAGAGGCTATAGCTGGTGTGAAATGATGGCTTGGGGTGCTTTGGAGCTAACCTGGACTTTTGAGGTGATTCCAGGCTCAGGTGCTGTCATAGCAGGCTTTGTAGATGACCTATGGCCCTAGGAGGTGGCTGGCTATGTTCTGTAGGATGGCTACTTGGTTTTTTGACCAAGGTTTGTTTAGATTTTGAGGCAAGAGCCTCTGCTCAACTGGAGCACTTATCTGGCTCCTCAGATGGTGTTGGGGACTAATCATGTTTGATGAGTGGCTTGTTTGGGCTGTCTTCAACCTTTCTAGGGATGTCCTTAGCACTGGGCATGCCCAATTGAAGATCTGGGCTCATCTGCCCCAGGTTTGTGCTCATACTACTAGCACCTGCAATCATAGAGGTGGCTGGTGAGTCTGCATCATATTTGCTGCTTTCCCTGCTCACAGCCTGAGTGCCTACAGGTAACTTGGCTGTGATTGCTTCATTTTGACCCTGTGTAGTCACCCTCAAAAGGGATGATGCTGTGCATCTTGAGCTTGTGGATGGTTTACTAACCATGCCTGCAGGATCTTCTTCTATCCAGACATGATCTAGGCCTGCTGCTGTGCTTCCCTCATCAAATACTACATCCCAGGATTCGAAGACATGACCAGTGGGCTGGTATAAGCATAGGTATGCTTTCTTGTTCTCTGCAAAACCCAGATGAATGCATTTTAAGGACTTTGCATCTAGCTTCTTTCTTTTTTCCTCAGGTATATGTATGTGTGTGGTGCAGCCAAAGGTTCAGATATGGGCCAGTGATGGCTTAATCCCTGTAAAGGCTTCATATGGTGTGACATCCTCAGAGATAGCATGGGTCAGTGATCGGTTGATTAGGTAGGCTGCATACTGGATAGCATCCCCCCAATATTTATTTGGCAGTCCAGCATCTTTTAGCATCACCCATGCACTTTCAACAAGTGTGCAGTTCATCCACTCAGCAATGCCATTCTCCTGTGGGGTATAGGCATTCATCTTCTCATGGTGGACCCCTTTCAACTTGAGGTAGGCCTTGAACTCATCTGAGCCATACTCCCCACCTCCATCACTCTGAAAATAATTTGCTTTTTCACCAGTCTCGACTTCAGCTCGAGCAAGGTAGCCTTTCACTGAGGGGAAGACTTTGTCCTTGGATTTTATTAGTTTAACCACAAGGTGGTGTGAGCGAGCATCAATGAAGGTTACAAAGTAGTGGTGTCCAGTTCAGGCTGTAGTCTCCATGGGGCCACATACATCAGAGTATGTCCAGTAGAGTACTGTTGGGCTTTCAACATTTGACCTGACAGGTATCACCTTATGGTGTTGCTTCCCTTCAAGGCAAGGTTGGCATACTGAGTTCGAGTGCTCAGTGCCAGTAAGCTCCATGCCTTCAACCATTCCTGCTTTAACCAGTTTAAGCACAGATTTTGTATTTGCCTGCCCAAGTCATTGATGCCACAAGTCAAGTGTGGCTACAGACTTTGGTGCTGCAGCTGTGAGTGCTGGAAAAGTAAGGGTAGGGTCAAGTAGTGGAGATGGTCCTTGTATGACAAGTGCTCCATGACTCGGAGAGTGAGTCCTTGCTGCAAGGATGTAGAGTGAGCCTTGATGACAACCCACACCTACAGTGTCTGTACTGTCAGTGATTGAGCATGTTCCACCTGTGAAGGTGACCTGGACATTTCTAGTGGCAAGGTATGCCACTGAGAGGAGGTTTGCACTGAGATCTGGGACAAAATAGACCTTCTGTAGTAGGATTCTACTGGTCTTCCCATTTGGAAGATCCATATGAAGTTTGATCCATCCAATGGCAGTAGCAGGAATTGTGCTCCCATTTCCAATGACTACATGCTGTGGGGGTGAGAGCATCTTTAGCAAAGTGAACCATTTCTGCTGACAGCACATATTCACAGAGGCACTGGAGTCAATGACCCAGTGTGTGTGTAGATTCTCACCATTGTCAGTGGCCATGAAGAGCTGTAGGGCACTGTCTTCAGCAGGTGAGATGTGTGCGACTTTAGCAACAAGTTTGTCCTCCTTAGGCTTATCCTTTTCAGCCTGTGACAGGGACTTGGCTGCCTCATCAGCCTTCCTCTTGTAGCAGTCATCTTCGACATGGTTTGTCTTCTTGCAATAGCCACAAGCCTTTTTCTTTTTCTTGTCATTCCTCTTTCCCTTTTTGTTAGGCATCTTTGTTACAAGGGCAGTTTGTGCTGAAGAGGTGCAGCAAGACTTCTCTTCTATCAAGACTTGGAAAATGACAGAGTCCAGAGTTAGTTTCTCATCAGACAACATGAGTATAGTGCAAAGGGTTGAGTACGAGGTTGGAAGGGAGATGACCATGGCTATGGCAACAAGAGAGTCTTCAAGGGGCTGTCCAAGAGACTTTAGGATTGTTGCCTTCTGCCACATAGCATTAAGCTGTGTCTCCATCAAGATGTCATCTGCTAGGGTACCTCAAAATAGTTTGCCAATAGGGTAGGCTATCATTTGTTTCCCTTTGCCTTCATAGTGCTTGCATAGCTTTTTCCAGACTTCTGCTGCTGTCATGGCATGCAGAACACCACTAAGTGGGTCATCCTTTAGAGTAAGTGTGATTTGAGCCCTTGCTTCTTTATCCTTGTAGTGCCAGTCTGCACATGCAACTGGATCAGCTGCTGCATCAGGTGCCTTCAACTTTCCTTCTACAAGCTCCCAAAGTCCACAGACATCTAGGATCATCATAATTTGGTACTTCCATGTCTGGAAGTTCAAACCATTGTCTTCGAGGGACGGTATGTCATAGAGTCAACTGGAGGCTTGAGTAGCTTTACCTGAAGGTGTAGTAGAGGTTACTGTTGAGGCAGAGACTGGGACCTTTGAGGGACTGGAAGTGGATGCTGACAGACCAGACATAGTAGACACTTTGTACCAGACTTGATGTGTTCAACTTTCCTAGGATTAGAACTTGCAAGCAGGGCTCATAACCTTTTGGAGGATGACAAGCTGCAGGATTGTCAAGTCTATAGAGAGGAATATACTCAGACTTCAAGTTGGTTGAAGCTGAACAATTAACTACCTATAGAGAGGAATATACTGTAGGTAGGTAAGTAAGTGTTCCAATATAGTGAATGGAAGGAGTCCCACCTCAGACTTCAAGTTGGTTGAAGCTGAGGTGCAGTAAGGAAAAAAATAAACTGCTAAGTGTCCGCTCTTGGATTATGTAATGCTGTGCTCAGTGAACCACAACTAAGGTAAAAGTGATAAACTCCAACACTTCTTTGCATGAGGGCTATGGTCTTCATCTCCATTCATCAGCTGCATCCATGTCCACCTCACCAAACACCTTTGGTGTGTGACAATGTCAATCCACCATCACACTCACCAAAGATGGCAGTTACCATGCTCACACAAAACACATTGACATATGATACCATTTCATTCATTTTGCTGTGGAAAACCATTCCTTTCATCTAATTTATTGTCCTTCTGACAACATGGTCACTGATACCCTTACAAAACCTTTACTGAGCATCAAAGTGAAACATTTTGCATCTGCACTCAGCCTTCATTCCAATTGAGGGGGAGTGTTGAGTATGCATTCTGGAGTTATGGTAGCATCTCAGAGTTTTTCCCAGAGTACTCAGAATTTCTCCCTGACCTTTGGAATTGAATTCTGATGTCACTCCACTTACTAACTATGGTACTATAAGTTTTCCACACTGCTATTTTCCACCTCAGTGACTACTTCATGCACTGAGGTGAGTACAGCTATAATTCCACTCATTTACTTGGCACTGACATAGCATAGAACTCATACCTTCATTAGGTACTAATAAAGTGACTACTCCATGCACTGAGAACTCATACCTTTGTCAATAAGGACAGCCATCCCACTGAAAGCAAAGCTCCCTGAATAGCAATCTCCCAATGATGTCTGTTTCAGTTTGGTTATGGTTTCCAGTGAGGTGGGCTCCTTTGGCAGTGGCATGATTTGTCTCTTCATAGTTAAACAACAGGAGCACAGGTTTGTTCAGGAAGTAGAGTGAAGTGATCAATGACTGTAAAGTAATACACATGACCAATGCCCTAAGCTGCATTGTTTGGTCAAGAAATCAGGAATCCTACCACTTAATAACCAAACCTAGGACAATTGCCAATCTGAGCTTTCAATTGTTGATCACAAATCTCATGACTATAGGTCATACGGAAAGCGAAATCAAACTTGAAGGTCACCATTGAACAGAGTATCTGGTTCTATCTATTGTCCACTGCAAAATTGCCGTGACCTGGAGTCGCATTGGTGGGTGCAAGTATTTCTATGTAGCATCAGAATGGCATTGGCAGCGTGGTAGTATGTGATCATGAGAATGTGGCAGAACGTCCTATCGGAACTTCGTTGGGCGTCAGGGTACACAGCCCACTTCAGATATCACCAGTGTGCCACACACATGTTGTCATACACACTATAATGATGTTGTTATTGTTCCTTTCCTCATAGTCCGTCAGTATGCTTCGTGGCTCTTCTAAAAATGAGCTGTACGCCTGCAGCATTGTCGATGCGGATGGGCCGAGTAAATGCAGTGTCCCCCTCCAAGCCTGATACAGCTCGTGCCATGGGTGGGATCCTGTCGTGCATCCCCATGACGTGCATAGTCCATTTCCACCCCGTCAGGACCTTCGTTTTCCTGCCTAAGTCTCCTCATCAGTTGCTTGAGTCTTGACATGCCACATTCGCGGTGAAAATCGGCCAGGGCGGTACCTAATTTCTGGGGTTCAACGACGACTGCGCATGGGGACACATTCGCTGTCAATATCCAGTTAGCTGTGCATGGCAGATTCTGCGATATTGGACAAACATACTGGTATGCTGTCTTAAACTGATCTCGGCCATATCAAGGCTAGTGAGGTACGGATTGCGGAAGATGTCTTGCCAAACGGCTCTGCACTCCAAATCATCTAGTAGCATCTAGGTGACCGCCAGCAAGAGCCGCTATCCTAGGAAAGACAAGAATTAAGAGAAGAAAGGAAAGGAAACACACGCACCGTATGAACAAGATCCATTGCATCTCCATCATCGACCACCTTCAGAAGATGCTGAGGTTTCGTCAGATCCGCGGAAGGTTCGTTTGGCTTCCTTTCCGAATTATAGCAGTTGGGTCGCCGTCGGCGTTTGGCCATCAAATCATACCAATTCTGAGAGGCGTGACACGACGCTTCAGAAAGCTGACCACACAATCAATCCGAAGATCGCTCTTACCTCGCCAGTACCAATCCACATTTCAAGTATGACTATCCCAAGTGCGTATATGTCGGACTTGCAGCTCGGCCCCACTAACCCCCTGCAACTACCCAACTCTGGCGCAATATATCCAAGCGTTCCCATTCCAATTGGTCCACGAGTCTCCGTCGTGCTTACAGAGAAGCCGAAATCACCAATGGCAACATGGCCGGATGGTGTCAACAGCACGTTCTCGGGCTTCAAGTCGCAATGGATTATCCCTGCGTCGTGTATATTTTTCAGACCGAGCATCTGTGCCAAAATACGTCAGTACCGTTTACCAGGACACAGTTACTGGTATACCCACCAATTCCGCTGTCCAAAGCTGAAGAGTGTCAGCAGGTAGGCATCCCATCTTCAAGAGAAATTACCGTAGGTCAAGCAGATAATACGGCTAGCACTTTAATTAGAAATACGTGCTGGGTAATCTATTCCGACATTACCATCACGGAGTAGATGTTATAGTCGTCGGTAAAAGCATTTAGTAATTGACCAGTGCTTTGAATTGCAACGTAATGAGCGACAATTGTTGGAATCATCTTCTGTGAACGCATCGAGGAACATGCGTTTGTTAATGACTTTAATGGCGACCTCTCGACGAATCTGGTCCCGGGCATGCCATACAAAACCAAAGGAACCAGAGCCGATCTCCTTGTCGACCGTAAAGGTGAAGTCTCCGTGTTGCAGAAGAAGAGATCCCGTGGGCATAAGTGTGGGAGGATGTGGGGCGGGACGGGGAGACGACCAAGATTCGGGGATATCATCCTGTCCCAATGGTGGGCGAGTGATGTCGACGGGCACATGAGTTGCACACAACAGTTTGGCTCGGTCGCTGGAACGCGCATCGGCAGGCCATAGGTTCTGTGCCGAATGCCTGGATGGATATACCTGGGGGATGACGAGGGGAGAAGGCCTCACATCGTCGTGCGTAGGATCCGATCGTTGTAGTCGAGAATTGCTCCCATCATGGGGCATGCTCAATTCGCACACCGACACTGGCCTGGAATCTTTACTGGACTGTTGGGCGTTCTCAAGTAGCTGCACTAGCGACTCATCCGGCAATCGGCTTGTCGAACTGGATAAATACAGTTCTTTGGTGGGCGGCGAGACATTTGCTACCTAGGATTCAGGCGAATTACACACTATCCGCTGTTGAATGACGACGTGAGTCTCAGGCGGTCCATCGCATGGAATGTCTGGTGCGCATGACACCGGGGTTCCGTCAGCAAGAGTTAGAGCAGGAGTTACAGTAGCATCGAGGAGAGGGAATTTCACTTCGATATCTGGAGCCGAGTATCAGAGAGTGACTGTTCAACGCACGAATGACCGGAATTCCGATAACTCTCAGCTACATTGGGCAGTGGCCGGTCCCCCGGCTGTGAATATGGTGTCCTAGTTTGTCCGTGGACTCGGCCATAAAGGTTAGGACCCAGAGAAACCTTGTTGGTATTTTCCGGCGCATTACCATGCTCCGATTGATCTTCCTTTCCTTTGGCGACGTCGGATAATCCGTTGGGCGTAACTATACCCTGCGTTGGTTGAACGGCGAGTGAGCTTTCTTGCGGAGATAACGCCGGCCAGCTCCCAGGAATCAAAAGGGAGTCCAATGCATGGACTTGTTCGTACTTCGTCGTTTGTTGTCTGCACTCAGCAAGGCTCCGTGAGGGCGTTGTTTCTGAGGATCCAAAGACCCGAGCGAAGAGCCTCCCGAGAATAAACTTCATGGCGGGGAACTGACAGTGCGCAGAGCCACAAGCAACGCAAGTGGGGAGGGTGATTAGCACCTACAAGGCCTATCTTGCTTATATCCTGGGACGTAAATGCTTTCCGAGCACAAAGTGATCCAGTGTCATGGCCCGGGAGGCCCCAGCGGAGGCACAGGGAGACAAAGCAAGACAGACCACTTACCTCATGTCCTGCCCCCTCGAACCTGCACAGGAATTTGATTGGTGTGTATGTCATTTGTTTCTGTGAACCATAAGACACGTCCAGGGGTGCCCAGAAGGCACTTGGTGTTCGTGGCTACCTTATACTTGTTTGCTGTTGTTCTGCGCTGGTAGGTGTTGTACGGGAGCGGGCGATTACATAATCATTTACCCTCCTACCGAAACCACTGCTTACGATGGAGGCAAAACTGTGAGTGGGGTCCGGCTGCTGGCCGCCGTTGTCGATGTCGGTGACACTTCTTCCAGAAAAGCTCTCAAGGTTGCAGACCTTAAAGAAATACTCGTCAAGGCATCTGCGCCTGCCCCGGGAAGAGTAAACAAGCAGGACCTCATCAACAGGATCCTCGCCAACCCAGCCGCAGTGAAAGTCTACGAGGAACTCTATCCGGCTCCAAAGCCAACATCAAATGCTACGTTTACCCCAACCAGCCCACCCAAAAATGCACCACCACCTTCCAACAATGATGACCTTGTGTGTTTTTCCCCCTGTTTCTCATTTCCCTCGGCTAACCCGGTCGCACAGCTTGCACCTCCAGAAGAGTATGTCTCAACGCGTTCTTCACGCTCTCATGTCTGAAAATTCTCAGCCTTGACTGGTCTGCTATGGATACTGGCGATGTGCCGCCTATGACCGCGTCCCCAGCGAAAAATCCGGTCGCACCACAGCAACCTCCGCCCACGAAGCCGGTGCGCCCTCCTTCTGTTGCCTTCCACTGAACCTTTAAATGGAACCTTACTCGATCAGACCCAAGAAGACTGCGCGACACCATCGAAGGCGCCCCCCGCACCTGCCAGTTCCACGAAAACATCACCCCTTCCTGCCAATGGCACCAAGGCGGATAAGCCTACGGTTGTAGATGAGGAACTTGAGAAACGCAAGGCGCGTGCAGAACGCTTCGGAATCCCACTTGTAGAACCCAGACAGCCCTTTCAACGTCAAGCGAGGAAGGTTTCTGAGGCGAAGCAGGCAGGCCCATTTCTTGATGTAAGCGGTCGTGGCTTCACATGCTTCCTCGTTTCTGACGTTTCCCAAGGATGCGGATAAGTTGAAGAAACGTGCTGAACGTTTTGGAGCAAGTAGTTCGCCCGGGCAACTAGCCAGGTCAGGCTCGAAGAGGGCTGCCCCGGAGGAGGTCGATGCGGAAGAACTCGAGCGTCGACGGAAACGTGCTGAACGTTTCGCAATGCCTGCCAATGTAAGTTTGTTGTCGACCATTTATGATCGTTTAATTGCTGAGACGGTATTCTCAGAAAGTTTGACCTATCTCTCCACTAGTCGAGCCCCTTTCCTATAGTAGACTTGTGAATTGTGTATTTAGTTTATTTTGGTGTGTCGGTGGCTGTGTAGCGTGCCTGACCCGTGTGAACGTTTCACCATTTATGGATTGCGAGTGTTGTGATGATTCCATCGCGAGTACTGCCGTCAGACGCGACGCGGCGTGAATTGGTACACAACTCCAACGTTCAGGACACAAGAAAGTTCTCGTTATCATGGGCGAGAAGTTTGTCGATCTTTGCTCTAATCTTTGGAAGGCGGCTGATCGGGCTTCTTTTTCGGCAGCCTTCGTGTACCGTTCTCTAAGGAGCATGATGCGTACTTGGTGAAGTATCTTGCCAGGTATTGCCCGACTAAGCAGAACCGTGCAGGGAACAAAGTATACAAGGACCTTGTGGAGAACGTACGTACGTTCATTTCACCCAATTTACCCCCCTGACCAATAATGAGATATGCGACTTACGGTGAGCGTGGCAGGTTGACGGGGACTGGCCGTGGGCTAGACATCATACCTGGCAGTCATGGCGAGAACGATACAAGAAGCATGCTGAGCACTTTGATGTAAAGATATCAAGGTACCAGGAGACACATGGGATCCGTCCCAGCGATTCGGACGATGAACGTCCAGGAGCGAGGAGAATAAAGCGACCCAGAGTTGTCAGTTCATCCCAAGCGTCACAGATATCCCGTAAACGAGTGATTGAGGATATAACACCCGAGAAACAGCAGCCTCCGACCAAACGACCAAAGGTAGCAAGTGGCAGCACCAAAGCTGTAGAGGGTAGTGTGCGTCGCCCCGTACCCCCAATCAAGCGGGGTGAGCCAGTCCCGGACTCTGCAGACAGAAGATCGAAACCCGAAAGTTCTAACTCCCGAATAGAGACATCGCGGACCAGGTAAGTGTTCGTCCCACCCACCATCAAATACATATATTAAACTCTTAGGTGTAGTCCTCCACGTGAACTCGACCCGCCGTCGGTCCAGCCTTCTCCCGAGCGTGAAAATTTTCTCTCTCCGAGGGTTCGTGCCATGACAAATGGAAATAAGGACAATCGGCCTCCACCGGGGACCCCACTACAACACAAGAGCCAAAGTACTGCAAAGTTGAATTCTCCCGCCCGCCGTCCTCTGAAAAAACGACACCGTGAGCCCCTGAACCCCTTTCGCTTCCACACCACCCACTCCACAGACCGTCGTGGTAAATTCTCCAATTTCACCAGACCAAACTCCTACACGTGCCCCTCCGCGACTTGTGAACACGCTAGGCAGATCGTGTTTGGTGGATCAGAGTGGCCGTGCACCGAAACGATATACCGGAAGCAGCGACGGGGACGGAGGTGAGCAGAATGACGTAGTCGAGAGATGGCCACCTATCCGAAGAGCGAAAGGGAAGGAACGTGCTGATACGACTCGCCTTTCTCATATGACTGGTCAACATCACCCTTTTAGCCAAATCCAGAAAACTAGTGGAACGGAAGTGAACGTCAATGCAGCTGAGCGACACGCTGTTGGCAACCACTGTATGGATCTAAACGATATTAATAAAAGCCAAGAAGTAGACAATAACCGGGGTGAACAACGCCCTCACAACGGCCCTCACTCCGCACCTGAGCGCGCACTACGCCAGCCATTTCTAGGTGCTGCCCCCGGCCCCGAATCAAAACCGGATGCAGAAGTCAAGGTTACTCCTCCACGAGCATCCACGCCTACTCCAACTGCAAGGACGCAGCCCTCCTCCCTTGCACGAGTGGGCTCCCAGACCCCTAATGGTTCTAGGGTCGAACAAGTGCGGAGTGTCGACCTGGCCGCCTTCTCGGCCTCTACGTCACAGCAAGCCCTCTCGACCCACAAATGGACTCCGCCCACGTCGATCACTTCCCGCCCACCTCATATCCCTACCTGCAGGCCGAGATACTTCTGCCCCCCAGTCCATGTGGCCAAACTCACGATATGGTTCTCCCTTTTTCGCCCAGCCAAACCGTCAAGGTTACCCTGGGTTCGCACCTTCACTATCCAACGTCAAGAGTGGATCCGCACGCCCATTCCCCACCTCAGCTTTCACTTTCACCCCGCCCCTGAACCTACCTCCGGCTCCTGCCCAAGCCTCTTCCGCTAATGCTACATTGCCACTACATCGCGAGCCTGTCGATATTCTACTTAGCCCCCACCCACCTGATGTTTCTCTTGCGGCTGCTCAGGGCTTAACTTCGATTCTATCGGCTATGTCTGTTAATCACGGGCTAGCGCTCGAGGTCGTGATCGCAGTGTACAAACGTGCGGGGAGTCTGAAGGAGGCGGATAGAGTGCTTGAAGGCATGAGAGAGGCCGCCGAAGAATGGGCGGAGAGAGCACTCAGGAAAATGGGTAACCATCGGGACTCTGACGAACGCGCAGATACGGCCAAACACCGTGAAATGGAATCGTGGTACAGGAAAGAGGATGATGCTGTGGAAGATGGCAGCACGCGGCAGTCTGTCAGCCGTCGAAGAAGTCGCAGGGAGTCGCAGCCTGGGAACAAACGGATTACTACGGAACTGGATTACGTTCTTGCTCGTCCTTCGGATGAAACACCCGAGTATATGCCGCCTGAGACAACACGAGCCGCGAAGTGGAAACGCCACAGTACGGGACGAACCTCAAGATCGCCCGTTGGTGTGCATCAGAACGAAAACCCGATCCAGAGCAGTAAGGACGACAACGATGAAGGCGAGTGTGGACAGGTTGAGCAGATGCTCGTTAATGACGAAGAGGGGACCCTGAGCCACGTGGAAATCCACCAGCTCTCCCACACCGACGAACCTCCCCGGGACCGTATGCACAAAGAGCGAGAAGAATATCATGATATCGGTGCACTACTGCAAACCATGGAGCCGCAGGAGTTAGAAAAGAAGCTGGGGAAGGACAATCTACGGCAACAAATAGGCAATTTGTTCAATGCTAAGTAATGAATATTCGTCCTTGCGGTGAGGATCTCCAGATAATTTCATCCAGTAGTACGCACTTGAGAGCAGTATCTCATCTACACTACAAGCACCCCAGATATTGGAGGCATCATACATTAAACCCCTTGCATCCCTATCTTACAGTGTCTTGTATTTTTAAAGCACACCACCGAGCTGTTGTGGCATAGTCTTGGATACACCAAGCCATGTTTTACACTGGGAAACTGAGATGCGCGCAACCGAAGTTTCGAAGTCGACTTGGAAAAAAAAGAAAGAAAGAAAGAAAGAAAGAAAGAGGAAGGTTAAGTGGCGGCTACGGGGAGATCCCAGGTGCGTGCCCTGAATCTCTCGCGGTCTCGCCACTGGCTCTCGAAATATATGAACGTCACGATGATGTCGTCAAGGATGTGGGTGCCTTCCGGCGGTACGAAAAGCGATGCGGATGACTTGCGGTTCCAGGATTTAAAGATGCTCTGTGAACTTTGCAAGAAGGTAGCTACGTAAGCTGCGTTGTGGCCAGAGTTCAGAGGTACGAGCTAGCGAAGCCGATCTCAGTGTGATGCGTTTTTTTTCGAGCTACTAGATGATAAGTGAGAATATCCTCACCTGTGCTCGATAGTTGCTTATCTGCCACTCGTACATGCGGCCATCTTGAGCCTGGAACTTTTCAGGACTGAGGAAGAGCAAGACATGCGGAATAAACATCTGGATTTCGAACAGAGATTTGGTGACAAACACTCACGATGTGTACAACCCTGTCTTCGTCATCTCCACCGATCTCGTTCCAACGACCACCTGGGGCCTGCCGTCAGGATTAGCAGGCCACTTCTACAAGACCAACTTGTAGTAGGCCGCCGACGGGATCTCGACGGGTAACGGTGGTCGTGGCCCTGCTACCGTGCAATGGTCGGGCGTAGGTGATGGTCTCGGAGGTGTACAACACTCTATTTTCTGTGCTGAGAAAGTCGGTTTGCAAAGGATCCCCTCGGGATAGAATTAACTTCAGGGTAGACATATGTGGTATATGAATACACCGCAGGAGCGCCCAACTTTGCTGTGAGGGGAGCGTTCCGGCGTCAAAGGCCAATATAGTGTAGCAAGTGGGTATGGTTTAGTGATGGCTGAGTCGACGAGCGTTGTACGTTCGGCTAGATGGGCACGGGGAGATCGCGTGGGCAACCTGTGGTGGCCAGGTGTCAACGTTTCAACAAGCGCCAACGCAGTTAACCGCATTTTGCTGTATATTCAGCGCAAAGTCCCTGTCATCGACCGAAAAGACAGACGCCCAATTTACTTACAAGCCTTACATAAGAAACTGCCCCTGATCTCACGGCGATGACAGGCCTTACCTATATAGGAGCCATGAGAACGTCTGGTCAGGCAACCATGCTCCCTCCTACTACAGAGATAAAGACTACGCACAACGATAAGTACTGTATGTACCGAACTTCCTCGAAGTCGAAAAAACGGGTTCACAAGGTCACTGTAGCTATTCAACTATTGGCCGGGAAAGTCCGGTACCTACCTCACTATCGCCTACTAATACCGTTCACGGTAACACGTTTGTATCATATACATGAGATGCAAGTCGTCTTTATCTCTGTAACTAAACTGAACATGGTTGCATGGCTGCACGTCCTCGTAGCTCTCATTAGTACAGTCGGGTATCTACGGCACAAATTCGTAAACAAGGTGGCTGCTTTTGCCAAAACGGCCCTATCTTCTGGCATGTACGGTATATATCGATTAATGCCTACCCAGTGGGGTCTATCCAGACTTCGCTAATAGCGGAGCCAGCACTGATAATATGTCATGCAGGTCTGAGCACGACTGCACAATGTCATCCCACCCATCGCATTGCGGAGGTTTCCCCAGGAAGCTTGTACCACGTGCATGTTATGGTGGACTGGATGGGGTAGGCGTAGGATTTGAGGTTGGTTTAGGGGGCGGATAGAGTTCTTCATAAAACTTTCACTGTGACTGGGTTGGCGAGGATCTTGTCGGTGAAGTCCTGCCCGTTTATTCTTAGTGGAGCAGGCGCGGATTGGTCTGCAACCTTGAAAAACCTTCTAGAAAAGAGCACCACCGACAACGACAACGGCCATAGTTTTGCATCCATGGTATTAGGTAGTTTCGGTAAGAAAGGTATGCGATTATGTAATCGCTGGCCCACGCGGCCGACCAAGGGTATTATGGTCCACAGAAACAAATGATATGTAAACCAATCTGATTCTTGTACAGGCCCGAGGGCGGTTGGACTTGAGGTAGGTGGTCTTTCCTACTCGCCCTGTCTCTCTGTGCTTCTCAGTGCTGAGGCCTCTGCCACCATGGCACTGGAGCGCTTTGTGCTCGCCGTTCTTCGCGAATGTGTTTACATTCCAGGACGTAAGCAAGATATGCTACGTAGGTGCTAACCACCTCTCCCATTTGCATTACCTGCAGTTCTGCATACTTCAAATTTCTACCATGAAGTTTATTTTCGGGAGAATCTTTGTTGGGTTCTTTAAATCCCTGGAAGCAACGCTCTCACGGGACGTTGGTGACCGCAGACTATAAATGACGGAGTGCGAGAAAATGGCTCACTCGCCACTTGACCGATGCAATGTATAGTTATGCCCAATGTGTTATCCAACTTCACCGAGTTTAAGGGTCAATCGGTAATGCAGACGAAAATGCTGGATCCCGACCTTTATGATGAACACAAAAGGACACCAAATTCGCATCTGGGAGACAGATCCCTGCCCAATGTAGCCCAGAATGCTCGTGGTTCCAATCTTGTGCACGTCGAACAATCACTCCCTGATACCCAGCTACAGATACTCGAAGAGCACGCATTTCTAATCAAAGTGCTAGCCATTTTAGCCTCTTGACCTATGGTAACTTCTCTTGAAAATGGAATGCCTGCCTGCTGACACTCCTCAACTTTGGACTACGGAACTGGTGCATCTGCTAGTACCTGTGTTGTCGTATGCGGTACTGCCATATTTGGCACAGATGCTTCGTCTGAAAAATATATACGATACCGGAATACTCCATTGTGACTTGAGGCCCGAGAACGTGCTATTGACACCATCTGGCCATGTTGCTATTGGTGATTTCAGCCTTCCTGTGAGCACGACGGAGACCCGTGGACCGTTCAGAACGGGAAACACTTGGGTATATCACCCATGCCGAAGAAATGAAAGAAATGGAAGACGCACATGTTGCCTTCAGTGGCCATCGTACAGATCATGGTCATTGCCAACCTCGCAGTTTGTGTGCCTGCTAGATGTAGCTTGCCAATTTCAATCTGTCGAACTTAACCCAGATCAAATGATGGTGGTGCGCCCATCCCTTGAAGGTGGCACTGTTACCTGGTGTAGGTAGCCAAGTATAGGTAGCTCAAATTGTGAGGCTGTTGGATCCTTTTAAGGTCCTCTAGGGGAAGCAGTCACTCAAGAAATAGCCTGTACGAAGGTGTGTAGTAACCAGCTGATTCATGCCATAAACACGCACCAGGATTCAGCGCATTCAGCAGTGCTCTCTTGAATTGTGTCACCGCACACACAACTGTTCCTGTCCTAGGAGATCCACTGCACAACAGTAAGAAATCCCAGAGACCTGAAAAACCAACAGATCATTGGTGCTCAACCAAATACTGTGTGTAATCTGGTGCATTGAAGATGAAAACACATCCCTCGCTTCCAAGCTCTGTCGTTAGGGAATATGGTATTACAGCAACCAGACCAGATAATAAAGTTTGCCTCTGGGATCTTCAAAAGGATAGTGGATTGTTGGCTGTCACGTGTCACAACAGAAGCCATGCTCCCCGGTTCGCTGATTCCACACGGAGTACTTGAGGCACTATGTGTGTCTGTGTGTGGCGGTTGGCCAACTTCTCTTGTGAAAAATTTACACCGTGAATCCCGATTCGGACATCCAGTAGGGTAGATGGATCTAACGGTAACTAGCAAGAATGCCTTCAGCACCGTACTGGGTCAGTGTGTGCGTACCAAATATAATTCTGATCATCGGGCCAGTGCGCTGAGTCGGACCTACTTTGAGCTACCTTAGGAACATGTGCATAGCTTGTGCCACTTCAAGTTCCCGGCAAAGATTACAAACCTATTCATCCCGGATAAAAACGACGCCCAATTGTGGCTTTCAGATTCGGAAGTTATGTGGCGGCTAATAAGATGGACATGCGCGGGAACTATGACGTCTTGGGGTTGTGGCCTGTTGTAGTGCGTTGGCTGAGATGCTGTGCACGTAGTGATGCGGCCGCCAAATATGCCGTCATAGGTTGGCCCATCACACGTCAGACTAAATTCTCAAGCGTCTCACAGAATGTTCTTAACAGAAACCAGGTCTTTTCGGCGTCCATCAAGATCCTTCCGAGTGAACCATTTTACAGCTGTCTCCTGGTATAACAAATAGCTTACTCAAATCGAAGCGTATGCCCCATAATCTCATGACCACAGGGTTACATGGGGAATAACACAATGCTAAAGGGGATTAAGTGGAATACCAAGCGCGAACAAATGAACAAATTCGTAAAGATTACTCATGTCGTGTGCTGACGGCGGAGGAACGATACCAGTTCCTCAGCAGAGGGGCGATCTGCGGGATTAGCTGCCCAGCATGTTTGAATGAAATTCCAATGCTCGTCTGCAATATCCTGGGATGACGGACGACGGGGACGTAAGCCTTGGGCGATAGTGTAAACAACTTGTTCGTCACGCTCGATATAATGGTATGGAACCTGGCCAGTGAGAACCTTTGTTGGGCGATATTAAAATCTGGATGGGTGTGGCCATAGACAAACACCGACCTGAAGCATCAGACTACCAAACGAGTATACGTCGCCTTCGAATGTGAAGTTGTTTTTCGCACCATCTTCACCTGGTGGAGTCTGGAAGAGGTCTGGCGCAACCCACCGTACAGCCCGCCCCACGGGCGTGGAAATGTAGGGCGAAATCCTGAATTCCAGGATCAATGGCAACAAACCATAATCCGTGATGTATGGGTTTCCTTGAGTGTCAAGGAGGATATTGCCCTGTTTATTCGCTCACTACCTCGTTGGGTTATAGTCACGTGAGACCCACCCCGTTCAAATCTCCATGCAGGATCCTTTGTGAATGTACTACGCAAACTAGGATTAGTAGCTTTCGACGTCCAAAGGTGGGCGCACTCAACGGTAATGCATTCCTTCCGCAATCCGCTGGAGCTAAAGTCAACGCGTTAGAAGCTGTTCCCAGCAGAATGCAAGCATATACCAGTTGGAGCCTTCGATCTAGACTCAGATCTGGATGTGCTTTTAGGTAGCGTGTGAGATTCCCTCCATCCAGCCAGGGTGAAACCAAAGATGGGAGAGGGCCAAAGCCGCAGACGAAGCCTTGAAGAGGGTGCACAGCCTCGTGTTTCAAGGCCATCCACTCGCAAACCTTGCTGCGCAACCTCTGAAACAAGTAAACACCAAAGCAAGCAGGAAGGTACACGACGAACTTCGGCCTTTTGCGGGATTAAATGGTCGTCACTTTGCAAACGAATGACCTTGATGGCAACCTGTCAGGTTGAATGTTAAAATCCAAGATCCTTGCAGGAAAGCCAGTTGGACGAACGCAACAGGTTCCGGAGCCACCACCGCGCTTGACACACTTCCAAACATCAGAGTACGTTCCTAGCGAACTGGCGAAAGGCCCTTTTCCAGTGATCTCGCCAGTGAGGTCCACTGACAGGTTGCTGCTATAGAAAGAATAAAATCAGACTCACTAAACCATCATGGAGAATGTGTACTCGCCTGCTTTCCTTGTCCTCTTGGCCGGAGGTGGAGTCCGGCTACAAGTTCGGGAAGGGGGAAAAGCCGTTAGAGGTTGAAAATTAATGCAGGGAACATTGTCACGACCCGGCGGACTCACCCGTAAGAAGCCTGACACATACGAAGAGGCACCATGGATAAAGGTGTAGACGTAGGAAGCCATATTTACAGGGAACTTGCATGTTCCCTTGGACCTTTATATAACACCCAGGGCTAGTTCCACCGTCAGATTGCTTCCACTTACGGAACCAATTTTATCACGAACCTTGTGAAGTGGGTGATTGTGATAGAAGATCTATTTCTATTGGGCCACTCGCATAATTGAAGCCTTACTGATCCTAGGACACCCACAGCCCACTCGCAGTTGGGGATGGGTTATAAGGGAGTATGGGGATTTCAAGAGCTACCCGTCTCAAGGGAGTTCGAAATATGGAAATAATATACGGTTGTGCAGGAGAGTATCCATACTATGGTTGTCCTAGACCACCGGACCAGTATGCATTAGTGCAGTGCAAATTCGGTACCCTGTTTTTCTGTCATACGGGGCCCTGCCTACCCAAGACTATTTTTTCGCGTACGTATATGGGCATCCGCTCGCCACTTTCCACCCTCATGTTCCTTGCTAACCGAACCTTTCCAAGTACCTTCTCTCCGACATGCTCTGTACTACCAGTCACTCGGGCTCAATGGGCGAACTATCTGTCAATATCAGGAACATGCGATCTCATTCCGGCCACGACGTCTCCCAACTCCCGGCGTTTATCCAGTTTACTCTTGGGGTTCCTGCAGGTCACGCCCCACCATCTAGTCTTTGTGCTGCAGCAGGTGATGATGTGGGGTTGCGACGTCCAGAGACGGTCGTTAGCCTCTCGTAAATGCCTATTATTATTACTAACCTAAAGTTGTGCGCTACATAAAGTACTCGCCTTCGCAAACAGTGGATTGTGATTTGAGTTGATGATACGACGCAAGCGGAAACTACAGCATCCTTTTGCTGCGGTTGCCTAGTCCACCAACCCGAGCGAGTGAAGTGAATACAGACGTTTTCGTCTTCTTAGACACTGAGCATGCTCCATGGACCATCGAAGAGAGGAGAGCAGCATACTGACATTCGTCACGCTTTCGCTGCTACGGGTAGATCAGTCACTTGTACCTGCAGCTAAGTGGCTGCAAGTGGGGATCTCCGATCTCCGAGTCGGTGCAAGGAGCTTGACTCTTTAGCACTGCAAAACCTGCGATAACACCGGCCCAAGTGGGTCGTGCTTTCCATAGGCAGGTTACGAGCGCTTTGCAAAAGAGATCGAGATTGGAGATTGGCCAACGCCTCTCGAGGACACCAGGTGTAAGTTTAGGGTCTAGCGAGCGGTGGCTGATCACACCCAGCCAACCCCTGGCAGGCAGATTTTCTTGTGCGACACCATCAATCAAGCCAACCGTCCATGCCAGACTGTGCCAATTGGCCTTCCATAACATACCACAGCACCAGGATATACATACTCGCTGGCATCTAAACAGGATACCATAGACCAGCCTCCAATCGAATACATCATATCAGCCCAATCCTGTGTAACAGTCTATTCCAAATGCATCGACTCGGCGTTACCGCACGGCAGTCCCATGGTAAATTTCACAAACGTGGGTAATAAAGATCCGTTTCTGGCGACCCCATATTCAACTGTTAAGTTCAGAGATACATGCCTCTGCCGTCAGCCTCGTGTTCAGAAGTTTGGCTGGCGTAGCCGGCAGACCCACATCTGTGAAGTGAGTTATGGGGGTTTGTCAAGGACTTTAAAACTCTCGTACACATCCGGAGTTGAGTCACGCAATGAACCCACGGATACCATACCCCCAACAGAACCAGAACCCCTCGGTGCCGCGTGTAGAACGAGGCAGAGTTTCTACAGATGTCCGCGAACGAAAATGCAGAACAGACTCCCCGCACGCACCGGATCCGCCCATCCGGGTCGAATGGGGCCCAGGAGAGTGGCTCTACAAATCAGGTAGCACGACAGCACGAGAATGAAGGGTGGTCCCACCAAGCCTTCACTACGGCCAATTCTCGGCGCAGCGCACAGAGAGGGGACACAAGAACCCACAGCTGCACGGCCTCAAATCGTTCGTAACCCTAGGTATGATGAACCAGGAAACGTACCTCAACAAGTTCATGGTCCCACCGGGGTGCGCGGAGAGTGGACGACCCCGCCGTCAAACCTAGATGCTGGTGGTGAACGTGGCGAATGGAGGCATGGCTCTTCATACAACCCGGTTCCACCCACTCCGCAGAGGGAACGACCCACAGACGCCCAAGGCTTGGACGGCTGGCACCGTGACACCCTACGAAGTTTGCCACAGGTAAGGCAGTTACAGAACCTCGGTAGATAAATATGGCATTCTGTTGGTAACGATAACATGATCCCAGCGGCCAGAGAACGTACAAATGCCAGGAAACGGCGGAAATTTGCCCCACAGGCCAACCATGTTAGTTGCTAGAGTAGATCAATCGAAACCTTACTTACCTTGACGATGCGGAAGCGTGCCGTTCAGCAGGGAGCCCCCCGACCTTACCGGATTTATCCAAAAAATCGGCCAATATCCAGACAGGCTGGGTGGCTTTGCTGATGTGTGGCGATGCACAAGTTCCAGGACGGGTAACGGCCAAGGAAGGGAATTGGTCAGTAAATTCCATTTCTTCAGCGAAAACTTGATGCTTGATATCACTCCCTAGGTCGCTGTCAAATGCATTAGATTACTAGGAGGCGATCAGAGCCAGCAGGAAGTTGAGAGAGTAAAGATTTATTGTCAAAGCATAACTTGTTCCTCTGACCACCTGGACAGGTCATCAGGCGATTTCGAGGTGAGGTATACGTATGGGTGACGTTAGCTCCACATGAGCATGTCTTGCCTCTCCGTGGCACGGTGAATGGGTTTGGGCACCTACCTGCACTCGTATCTCCATGGGCGGAAAATGGTACGTTGACCGACTACGTGGGGCGCAACCACAGACAGCTGTCCTACGGTAGGAGACTCAAGATTGTGAGAGTTCAAACCATTCTCAACGAGTATACGAGCCTGACTTTGAATGTAGATTCTCCAAGTGATATCCGGATTGCAACACCGTACGTCACCAAATGACCTGCGATAGTGTTAGTTGCTGATACACATTAGTCCACTTCAGTAACATCTGTCACGGTGATCTCACTGGAGTGCGTACGCGTCTAGTGACAGTGGCGTTCTAGTACTGATTCGTCTTTAGTCCAATATATTAATCGATAGGAATGGGGACGTACTCATATCCGACTTTGGACTTTCCTCGGTGGTCGCCGAGTTCAACCAAACGAGTTATTTCAACTCCTGCAGACCAGGTGCAGTGCGATGGATAGATCCCGAATTCTTCATCGACTCGGTGGACAGAACCGATGGTTCATTCCCTACCGCGCGCATCACGAACGACATATACTCAATGGGTTGTATAATGCTGCAGGCGCGTCTTGGCCCGTAGCACAGATTCAAACATTAACGGCTAACGTTATTATAAACAGATCTTGACTGGCTTGATTCCATATCATGACAAGAACGACTGGGCGGTACAGCTCGCGAAATACAGCAGGCAAAATCCGACGATTCCGCCTACGGTGTCGCGAACTTTTGCGAACTTGATGGAGGGCTGCTGGGACGGCAATCGCCATGAACGTCCAAGGCTGGGTGAGATCAAAGGGGCTGTTCAGAGGGTATTGGATAACTTGCAGATGTAACCTTCTCTATAATTACCTGACCTGTCTTCAAAAAGGTCGTAGGACATAATATAACGCGCATCAGTCATTACGTAGGTCAGGAGTTTTAATTTTGCGGCTCCCACCGTGCTGGCTTGTTGTGCAATATCCAGCTCCATGAACAGCATCACTAGTCACTGGCGATAAAGGAAAGTTAGTCGCCGTTAGTCACATGGGAAGCCAGGCGCACCACACTGAAGTAGATAACAAATGCAGCCTCTAAGCTAGACCTCCATCTCTTCCTCCCCGTCAACGGCTGATGGAAAGCCACCCTAGGCTTTCTCTCATCCGTAACCACACCTCGGTCGCACCCGTGCGCGCAAGCTCCGTAGCTAGTTTGAACTTGTGTGTATCCAAGGATATTGAGGTCCCGTTGTAAGTTCGAGAGTTCATCCACACGACCTCCGATGGTGGTATTTTTCCCTGAAACGACCTCGATGTAATTCCGAACAACAACGCGAAGCAGAATGTGCCATCTAGCCGCGTCTCGTCCTCAGGATCGAGGATAAACTCTGTCTTGTTTCCGTCCATTCTCAGGCCCACTACCACAGCGCACACGACCCCTCTCATGGGTATTGAGCCTGCATTAACAAGCGCGAGGCTGCACGCATTGATTTTAGCCGCCACGAGCGCGCTACTCGGCTGCGATAACGCCTGGACAACGACTTGAATGAGGGTGCGTGGATGCTGGCCAAGAAGGCATGCACTCTCTATTATTCCTTTGAATGCAGAGCCTAGTAATTTTTCTGCGGTTCCGGGCACGGAGGAGAGTGGGCGCACGTGTACTTCGACTGTCGCGCGAGCCGGATGTTCGGATGCTGGTCGTGCTGCGATTGGGCCACTCACGGATGCGAGTGCTGTGCAAGTATCCCCAAAAGAAAAACGGGCTGATCCGTCTACACCTGCAAGAGAATCGAACAAGATTTTGATGGGACGGAGGGAGCCATGGGCCATTGATGATGGATGAAGTCAAATCACAACTCCCATGTTAGGGTTAGGGTTAACCTGTTCTTCAACTAGATAACAACCACAGCGGGTCATGTAGGTACCTCAATCAGACTACTACCATGGACCGACAAAAACATCTATTGCTCTCTCTTCCATCGTTATCTTATGTCTCTGAACGAAGTAGCCAATGATGATGACATCCCGCAGGGGTTCTGCACCATATTCTAGGACGAGAGCAGGCTTGCCGTGGGCATGTTGCCAACGACAGCAAGCAACTTCAGTTTCAAGATCGCCATACTGGTAAATCTGTGCAGTTTGGCTCAGAGAGGAGGCAGGAAACAAGGGATTTAGTAAGGCCATGCCTTTTGACAAAAGCTGGAGTGGACCTTCCACATGTATGACCCGTTCTCTGTATCCATAACATGTACCACGCTGAAATGCAACGACGGGTACCAAAACATCAAGTAATTGAGCCACCTTGCAATGGAGAATGAAAGCTTACGTTCCGTCTGGTAGTTTGGTTTTCTTCAACCATTTCTGCGTGCTTATGACGCTCTTCTCGCCTCGTGCTGGAAAAGACAATGTGTCTGGGCGCAATCCCTTGTGGTGTATGATTGCAAGCACTCGAGACGGGTGATGTGCATCAATAATCTTGATCTGCCCGGCTTCCATCTCTATCTGGTACAGAGGGTCACTTGGGTGTGCATACACAATAATGTTCTTCGGATCCGCAGCGTTTAAGAAATACGACGTCGGTGAACCGGGATTTACAAGAGTGATAGATGAGTCCATGACACCTGCTCTGCGGAGACGGAAGAAGAGCTTGGTGCTCGGCAATGCAAAGGCTTTACAAAGCTTGGATCCTGCAAATTTGTACGTACTTACTCTCATTCGGAGCTTGGCATGGTGAAAAAACTGTCTCATACCATGCTGAGTGGCGTTCCGCTCTTTTTCCGCGGTACGCCGCAAACACAGCAAGCTTGGTTTGTTGACCAGTCTGACACGATTTTCGCTAGCATGAAGCAAGAAACAATGATAGATACGTGTAGCAGAGCTACCGCAGGATGTAATATTAATTGAATCGTAGTTTTCGAGATGGTCCCTTGCGAGTGTGAAGTCATGTTTACGGGGGGCCCGGTCCGGCCCGGGGTTACCCGCGACAGACTTCGATGTTCGGGAGAACCGTTCGCTTAGTGTAATATAGAGCTGTGCGGTCTCTCTCTTTTACGCTCCAGTCTCACTGTGCCCGTTATGCTTTTCCTTCTCGAGCTCCATCACCACCACGACGCGTCTTGTACCACGTCGCCCCCCCTCTATGATAGCGAATTCTCATAAAGACCTGTTTGAGTACAAGTCAGGGAACTGGGTGTAAATCTCATACATATTTTTCTATACCGTACATCTCTGACCCGTAATATAACTTGTTCGGCTATAATGATGCTCTTCGCTACAAAGAGCGGAGGCTAGCCTTCGACGTTGACGGGCTATATCGACTTGCAGCGGAGTCCGCCAATCAAGGTCCTGCTAATGTCATCAACTTGTCGAAGCTCGCTGAGGGCGGGTTTAACCGTACCTTCCTCGTCGCCCTGCGCGATATCTTCCAAATAGTCGTCCGTATTCCGTACCCCATTACCGCACCTAAATTCTACGCTGTCGCCAGCGACGTTGCCACTCTAGAGTTCCTGCGTTCCTATGAGTTACCAGTTCCCAATATATATGGCTACTCGCCCGACTCAGACAACACCACTGAAACCGAGTACATCTTCATGGAGTTCGTTCGAGGTTCCAAACTCAGCGACATCTGGCCTAGCCTAGACTACCAGGAGGTCATCTCCGTCGTCCGCCAGCTCACTCAACTCCAGTCGGTTATGATGTCGTTGTCTTTCCCCGCTGACGGGAGCTTGTACTTTACCAAAGACCTGGAGAAGATTGCCATGGGGCCGAGCATACCGCTGGAGGACGGGCGTTTCTGCGTTGGTCCAGATACAATACTACCTCTCTTGTACGGGAGAAGGTCAAAGTTCGACGTGAATCGGGGACCCTGTTTGCCGTTTTCTGCCTTTCCATTATTACGCCCTTGAACAAATCGATAACTATAGACTTTAGTGCCGAAGCAGCTTTCGTAGCAGGAGCCCGCAAGGAACTTGCTTACCTGAAGCAATTCGGTCAACCGCTCTTGTCGTTCCAGCGCGAAGGGGGGCTGGTTATCAGTACCAGGAGCAGTCGCCGTCGGCCCACATTGAGAACTTGAATCTTTATCTCCTCATCGCGTCGTTACTCGTCCCTAGGGACCCCGCTCTCAGTCGTTTCTGTATCCGCCATCCAGACCTCCAGCAGGGCAATATTGTCGTGTCGAGGTCGCCCGGCTCTGACTGTCAAGTCGTCGGCCTACTCGACTGGCAACATGCCTCCATCCTGCCCACGTTTCTCCTTGCCGGCGTCCCCCAGCGCCTCCATAACTATCACGAGCACGGAGGAATGCAAAAAGCTCCACTATGCTACCTTTACTGACCTCATATACGCGCTCCACAGCCGTCTCTTCCAACACGCTGGTAGCTCCTGGGAGGGCGAGAGCTTGGGCTCATACAGGCAACGGAGAGGTGGAGCGCGCTTACGGGAGGAGTCCTGCCGTGTCCAGTCGAGTTCGACGCTGAGGACGTACGCGAGACGAGGAAGCTGAATGAAGTACAGGCAACAGCAGACAGGTTTTTTGAGATGTGGCAGAACATGGTCGGCCTCGGGGAGAAGGGTTGTGTGTTGACTGAGGACTACGAGGATGCCGTGGCGTTCTTCGAAAAGAAAAAGGAGGCATTGGCAGGTACCAAGTCGGCGGAGGAACGGGCGGAGATCATGGGTCACTGGCCCTGGGACGACATGGATGAAGAGAAGGATTTGTAACGAGTCGAGCTAGATATTCCGCGATAGTGTGTCAGTGTCTATTGGCCCGGTCGTCGACGCCTCCCCCGCTATCACCTCCCACCACGACAATGACAGGGAAATCGCCTTTTTATTACTTATTGCTAAACTCATCAACGACTCGAAAGTGGAGGGCGAGTGGATTCTGTGTGCCAACCTGACTTGCAAGATGAAAGCCCAAGACTTTACACCAGGCTTTACGAAGTACGGCTTCACGTTGATCTACAACTTTGGCATCATCTAATCTGGAGTTTTCGCATTGCGGACATAGCAAAGGTCACTCTGGTGGGCAAATCTACTATGTATAAATGACCTTGGGTTCTGGGTTCGATACAAGTTCCAAATCAATGTCATGGGCTAGGCCGTCCCGCCATACATGGCATGGATCATGATGTGATCCTCGTTCAATCACCCTCGCAACCAGGTTGGCTGACCGAGAGGAATGTTAACCATCGCCCTCGAACATCATCAACAAGAAACTGCTAATAAATTCTTTGGCCTACGAACTCGTTCTCCCCCTCTCACTTCAACGGATACGAAGACAGGTGATCATATATCATGCACGTCATGCACATCCTGGCCTGGCAAACCTGAGCGATCCAATTCTACGTACCTGTTCCTGATGAGCAAGAGCGTTGATGCGGGATGAAACGTTGAATGTTGATGCGCCGATTCATGACCCGACACCGCTGTCACGTTCGAGTTTACAGTAACAAGGTCAATGAGAAAGCCGAACGCAATGAAGTGAATGGCAGGTACATTTCCATCCGCGCTGGTAGTACCTATGTACTACATCAATACGGACGTCACGCGTCATGTTTTGCATTTCATTTACCGTTAGCTGACCTGGGCTTCGTTCGGTTAGAGAGAGCCCAATTATTTTTGCACCCTCAGGGAAAGACGTGATAGGTATGTTTTATTGATTCTTAGATTGCCCGCATACCCTCATCGACCCCGTAGGAAAGTAACTTCCGGTCCCGTCTCCCATACTCCACGAGAATAGTCGCCATGGGCTATGTACTGTCTGGATGGCACAAGAGAGGCACGGAAGTGGAAGTCGACAGTCCGAAACAAACTGCGCAGTGGCAGTCGTAACGCCAATGCCATTTATCACGCCGAATTATTGGAGGGGCCGACAAATTATGCGAAAGAGTGAGCACTTTTCATGTCCTAGGCAAGTCGTAACCAGCTTTTACTTAATAGCTTGTTTCCATCGTTCTTGCAATATCAAGGATGTAATTCCGCGGTTTTCATCCAATCTCATTGTTTCGCCCAGAATTTGATTCGAAAGCTCTTAGCACACAACTTTCGTGATGATTTCTCGCCGAAACCTCGTTGATTCTTCGTGCGACGGCAAGCAGTATATGGTCTCGCCAAAGGGACCTGAAGAGCAGATCTTCGGTACTGTGCACACCTTTTGGCTTAACGGTTAAACGCTAGACCTCCGACGTAACTCGCATTTTTGTTTTCACCTCAGCGCGCCCGTTGACTACTGAGATTCAGACGTACATGCATTTCGAGTTAGTGCCAACTAGGTACATCGGTACAGTTAGGGGGGTGGATGCGACGAGTTCAAGGGCGTCTGTTCTATGGACGACCAAAGGCAACACGTATTTGATCAGAGAAGTCGATATCTTCTACACGACTGTTTTCAGAACTGCCGGCCACAGGGAAAATGTGCTGATTCTTACCTTGATTAACTTCAAGCCTATTCCCAGCCCTCTTCCCTCGGCCTGAGTTGACCTTTCGCATTGCAACACTCTCCCGAATACAGGCAAGCTTGAAGCCGATTTCCAAGCCCATTTGGACCGCTTCTTCCATAGTTATTGGTTTACGTCTTTTGACCAACTCGTTAAGGGCAGGCAAGAACCATTCCTCAATTTTATACTTTTTGGAAAGGACAACCCGATCCACTGCACTAGCTTCTTTCGTCAGTGCGTCTATGGCAGCTTGGCGAGGCTCCTGAAAACTCCATGCAGTCGACAAGCTAAGGACGGATTTCCACTGATCTGTGCTAAGCGATAAGTCTGGCAACAAAGTATGTGCTTCTGGAAGAAAAGATGTTTCGTTGCCTTAGTTATGTAGTATCACGACTGTCGATGGATCTTTTGGTAGTACTGACCTATGGAAGAGTACTTTCAAGAGCTGTTCGAAATCGCTCTTCTCCACGCCTTCAAGTTGGATGGATTTTTCATCGCTCAACCCTTCCACCTCACCACCGTCACCGTGCAGCGAGGAAAACTTGTCACAAAAGAATTTGGACTCTCGCTGGAACGGCTCCCTCGGAACTCTAAACAGACAATTTTCCACCTGACCACGTTTAGTGTGAATGATATCAAGAGCAGATAAGACCGCACGACACTTACTGAAAACGTGACCGTGTTCACCCAGAAGTCGAGGTGTCTGGATGTGTCGGTGTTGCTGGCCATAGTCTGACTTGTACTAATCATCTGCCGCTCATGAGATATCGATGAAGGCATTCTACACGTGTCAGCCATGCGAACCTCAGGATTTCAAAATGCTTCGATCGAGGGAGGTTGCATGGACCGTCTATGACGAGAAAGGGTCCATTGTACAAAGCATTTCGTGACAAGCAATAGGGCAAGCCTTGAGACGATCGCGTTGACGTCGTTTGAGAGCCTGTAGAAGCCTGTAAAAATTCAGTTAAGACTCCATTCCGAAGTTATCTGACCACCCTCGATGTCTTATGGAGAAGAGACCGGGTGAGCAACGTCTCTTACAGACTGTGAAGGTCAAGCGAAGGTACACACCGCACGCAAAGGCTCGATGATCTTGCCACTAAGCTGAGCTGCAAATTCACTGGCGACGAACAATTCAAGTAAAGGCCATCGCGCAGTGAATTTGCAGTCAACCAAGTTCTACGAGGTTCCTCGCTATTCTGTCGTTGAAGTCGTTGTCTATGGAGCTCTCCAGATCTGACACATTCACCAAACCGAAACACACGTCGCTAGCGGGTTACCGTTCGGGAAACCTCGCCGTTGGTAGGACAGCTGTCCTTAATGACCTAGGCGAAATTCCGCAGGTATCACTGGAGTATTTCAAGTCTGCCATCCTGCCACCCCTTCGTGGACAGATTGACATCGCTAAAATCAAGACTTCGTTGGAGGGTGCTGGGGCTTGGTCCCGACTTTCGGGGTGGACTGCGATTAAGAAGGAGCCGAAAATTTCTGGTGTATCTGAGGAGGAGGCATTTGAACCTCTTTCGAAGGTTTTTGACGCAGTCGTACGCGAGGCTGGTAAAGTCGCCAACGTCCCAGCAACCCTAAGATTTTCATCGCGATCCTCGTATTCGCCACTCCGACCACTCCAATGCCACTCGCCCAGGTGCGTGCCTACTACTACTCGAGGAGAAGAGTGTTGGCTCGCAGGGGGCTAAGAGAACAACGCCGAGAACTCTGGTCCAGATTCATGGTACGATATTGCCGTGTCATTTGAGTTCAAAAAGGGCAACGGGGCCGCCGAACGTGATGACGTAGGTGACAGTTACACTCTTGTTCCTACACCGCTGATCTAGTATGATAGAATGACAAGAAGGTTATATCGAGTCTGCACCATATTATGCGTAGCGACCCATGCCGGCGTGCCACGTTTGGTGTTACCATCGAGAACACGGAAATGAGATTTTAGTTCACTTGCCGGGCGGTCACGCTCGTGAGTAAGTCGTTTGATTTCCTCACTGTTAGTGGTCACGTCGTCGACTCCATTGTCGTTCATGGCTGACCCTTTCAACAAGAGCCAGAACACCTCATCCACCTCTTCTGTGCCCTTGTGTTCGCAGACAACCACGAGCTCGGATGGGACCCAACAATCCAGAGAGTGTGCGTCGAGGGTAAAAGTCAGTACGTCATTACTGTGCGGGCCGATGATGGGCGAACCTTGGAATACCAGATCACGAGGGTGGTTTCCGATCTCAGTGGCTATGACATAAGGAGTCGTGGGACTTGGGTCTTCGAAGTGCGTCTCAAGTCTCCGGATGGAAATTTGGACACAGCACCCCTCGTATTGAAAGATTCATGGAGAGATTGTGACCGGGAGCGAGAGGATGAAATCCTTGAACAAATATTTGATGACTTACGGAAGCTCAAGGGCATCGAGGCAGAGGAAGAGGCTAGAAAATATTTTCTCACTGTAGTTGATGCAGGGGACGTGGCAGTGAATGGATGATCGATGGCACCGCCAGCCTTCTACGCGCATCCGATCTGCCCGCTGACTGCACTTCGTATGCACTACAAGGACTCGCGCCAAGTTTTCCTTGCGTCCCCGGTCCCACCAAGCATTCGAAAGTCTATCACAGGATCCATTTCCACCTGGTGCTTAGGAAGTTTGCACACCTATATACGAACTTCAGCACCTCGATACTGTGTTTAAGACGCTACAAGACGTTCATAAAGGTTTGCTAAGTTGTATTGTGAACTTTCGCTGGAGGCTTATATATAATTATCAGCCTTGCAGTTTCTGCACAGCGCTGGGTGGGTGCACCGTGACGTCAGTGCCGGAAACGCTTTACGGGCGGGTGAGGTGGGCAAGTTAGCTGACCTGGAGTTCGCAAAATGTATGGACTCCAACACCACCCACGAAGTCCGTACGGTGAGCAGATTTCACCTCTCCCACCTGTGCCCTCTCAGAGGCGCGTTTAAGGGAACACTGGATTTTATGGCCTGCGAGGTTGAAGCTCAAACATATCTGTTTAAACCGTCCACAGGTTTGCCCGTTGATGCAGACTTTAAGCTCCTCACAAATGTCGAGTCCACCACACAACTCCAAGTCCCATTCAGGTTCAATCCTCTCCATGACTTGGAATCTCTTTGGTGGATTTTAACGTGGATATTATATCACCACGTCGACAAAATCGATAGCCAGCCGTCATCAGGTCAGATAGCGTGCTTTCGGCAGCTTTTCCCCGGACGGCTCAATTCCCGTTTCCCTAAATTTTCCTCTTCAATAAGCTGGGGTGTGCTTTCGGCCTCTTTTCGCCCTGCTGCTCTTGTCGTTGATGACATGCGCGAGCAACTTAGGTTGGCTTTCACTGCAAGCGAAACCACCATGCCGCCGGACTATACCGATGCACTTGGAAATCTCCAATTCATCTTTACCAAGCGCTTTGAAACCGCTGTTGAGCTCTCTTAAAATGTCAATCTTTATAACCCGAGCTTTAAGCGGCCACGTGACGAAGATGCATTACCTGAAACCCAGGACAAAAAGCAGCCCAAGGTTTGAAGCTTTTCAAATGCTGATATCATGTCTTACTAGCTGGAGTGATGTGGAACAGCGGCATTCGGACGTTGACACCTTCCGAGCACATGTCACTACTTGGACTATCAATAAGTGCTGTGTACTGTACTATGTCGTATATGTGGCCTGCTCTCCCTTGGTACACTCTTGTTGGTAGTTGCTCTTTCGGGCATTATGTTGCATGGAATCATGGGCTTGATGCTCTGCGGTATGGAGCATCACTGAAAAAAAGTCATCTCTGGGTTGTACGCATATATTTCATGAGTGTAATTTGAACGGATGAGTAGAGGCCCGTGCAACTCACTCCAACTCCTCGATCTTGCCTGAGATGGCGGGAGAAGAAAGTCCAGTCTCCTCGCTTCCCGTCGCAGTACGGGAACGCATTTTCTAACTGGCAACTTATGTTCCCTGTACAGCAGTCCCAGAAGTGTATGAAAAGCTGCATTGCGTCGGAAGGCATTATGTACCTTATGGCAGTAAAATGCCTTGGGGACACTGCTACGCATTTACAAAATCTTGTCCCAAGCTCAGCCGTTTGGCCCTCTCCCTTGATCGCTTGGTCATTGATGACCCCATTCCTGGTCTTTCCCCCCTGTCTCATTTCTTGGAATGGCACGTGTAATAGCTGTTGCATGCATATTTTATGTAAATTAAGCCTGATGTATATTTGTACATTCCTGTATTCCCGTAGAATTTCATGCCTTCCGTAGACCCTGCAAATTTTAATACCCTTATGAGCGAGTAGCGTAATGAATGATATTATCAGTCCGGAGCATTAGAAAAGAGATGTCATGCTGTGTGACCGTTGGAGGCCTTGACCTTGACCACTTTTTTAGTTTTCGGTGGCGAAGTGGCATGCATCTATGTTAACGGCAAATTAGTGATAATTCTTGCCACGGTCGGAGGTCAGATACTTACAGAGCCTGCGCCTGGAACAGTTGCAAGGATCTCCTTTAAGACTCCAGCGAGCACCTTCACGTGTGCAGGCGTAAACATTGTGTCGTGAGATCCAGCAGCGACCTTCATATCCAGATTCTTGATGCGGGCATCCCAACCATTGTGGTCATCTGCTCCAGTGTCGAAGTCACTTGCCGCGCCGCTGCGATACCATGATCTATCTTTCGGTACAACAAGGGTAGTCGGCCCATCATAGAAGTCGGCCTCGTAGTCGAACATGGACTCCAGGTTCTTGCGGATCTCAGTACGGAGCTTATTCTTCCACTTCTCCCCAATGTCAGGGAAGTTGGACGTGATGCGGTCGATCGACCGCTGTGTCCAGTCTGTCGACTTCAGGCTCTGACGCTCCGAAGATGGGATGAAGATGGGATCAAACAGGATGAGGTGTGCAACCTCTTCGCCACGCGTTGCCAACTTGGCAGCCATGCAAAGAGCGACTGATCCTCCGTACGAGTAACCCCCGATGACGTATGGACCTTCAGGTTGGACTTTCTTGATGAGGCTGATATAGTGTTCCGCCATGGCATCGATCGAACCGAAACCCGTCTCGGAACCGAAGTGCTTGTCACCAATGGCGTACATCTCATTCGGCATGTATGCGCCAAGACGCATGAATGGAGTAGCCATGCCTGTGATATCGTGAACGATAAAGAGACGGGGCTGCATGCCCTTCTTTTTGATGGGAAGGAACTCGATGAGGAAGTCTGCGTCTGCGTCTTCCGCTTCCATGATGATGCGGGAATCTTTACCCATGGCGTCGACGATCAGCGTACCCAACTCGCGGATGGTTGGCCTACAAGCTATTAAGTATACTCCTGGACTATGGCAAGGGGTAACGCTTACCTAAGGTAGATGTTGTTGAGGCCAACGTGAACATCAAACGTCTTGGAGACCACGCCAGCGGCTTGGACTGCCATAAGGGAGTTGAGGCCCACGGCAAACAAATCATGGTTAACGCCGAAACTGCCATTCTCCGCCTTGAGCACCTTGCTGAAGATTTTCATCAGCTCTACCTCGACGTCACCAGAGGGCGTGCCGATATCGTCATTCAAGTCGGGTGCAAATGTCTTAAGGTCCATCTGCTTGAGCGCATTGCGATCGATTTTACCACTGCGAGATGTGGGAAGTTGGGGGAGCACTGCGATGAGCGAAGGATACATAAACCGCGGGAGGCGCTCTGCAACGAAGACCTTCAATGCCTCTTTCTCCTCCTCGAGCTGGCCGTCAGCGACATTTTTCAGCTCGACGAAGGCGACGATGGCAGGAGCGTCTTGGACTGTACGAATGACAGCGGCGGCACGCTTCACTGAGGAGTATTTGGCAATTGTGTCTTCGATTTCACCGAGTTCGATACGCTGGCCGCGAAGTTTGATCTGACGGTCAGCACGCCCACAGTACTCTACGTTTCCATCAGGGCGGTAGAGCGCAATGTCGCCCGTCTTGTAAATGCGCTCATTCCGGGAAAAAGGGTTGGGGACAAACGCAGCAGCGGTGAGCTCAGGTTGGTTGAGGTAGCCGCGTGCCAGTTGGATGCCTCCGATGTACAAGTCGCCCTCAACGCCGATGGGAGTGGGCTTGAGTTGCTTGTCGAGAATGTAGATGCGACAGTTAGGAAGCGGACGACCGATAACGCCGGTGAGAGCAGGACCCGTAACATGACATGAGGTACAGTCAACGGAGGCTTCTGTGGGTCCGTACATGTTGTGCAGCGTGACGCGACCACACCAGTCCTCGATAAGCTTCTTGCCAAGGGCTTCACCTGCGACGACAACAGTCTTTAGAGTCGGGTATTCGCAGAGAGGGACGACTGCGAGAATGGAAGGCGTAACGTGAAGGACGTTGATGCGCAGAGAACGAATGGCCTGGGGTATGTCACCAAGGACAAGTTCCTTGCGGCCAGTGACAAGAGTGGCGCCATGAGAGAGGGAGCCGAAAACGTCCACCACGAAAGGATCGAAAGTGTAGGCTAAGGAAGACATCACACGAAGACCTTGCTGGAAACCATATACGCTTGAGTTCTGAACGAGATTAGAGATTGATCGATGCTCGATCATGACGCCCTTCGGCTTCCCGGTGCTTCCACTTGTAAACCTGGGATGTGCATCAGTGCAGCTGAACTTGGATTATAAGGACTATACTTACATGATGTAGGCAAGGCTGTTGGGGGTAAGTCCTTCAACGTCGAAGTCATCCGCGCTGAGCTTGGTCAGACGCTTCCGGTAGATCGTATCATCGATGTAAACGATCTACGGGGTGGTTAGCAACTTAGCGGTAACTATAGGCTCTCCACTCACCAGAACTTTCGAAGCTAAGCTCTTCTGGAAGACGCGAGAGTGGTTTGAAGTCGTGAGCAGCACCTTTGCGCCACACTCTTCGACCATTAACTCCTTGCGCAGAGTGGGGTCGTCAGGGTCCAAGGGCACGAAAGTTGCGCCAGCCTTCAAGACCGCCAGGACACCCAAGATCTGGCTGATGCCACGATCAAAGCACAGGGCAATGACATCGCCATGGCGCACGCCTTGTTGGATGAGTGTCCGGGAGATTCTGTTGGCAGTGGAGTTTAGTTCGCTGTATGTAAATGGCTCGTCTTCAAACTCGACAGCAGTGAGGTGTGGGGTTTTCTTCGCCTGCTCCTCAACCAGCCGATGAAGTAAACTTTCCCGCACCGCGACCTTAGAAGAAGAGGACAGTTCCTTGACTAGGCGTTCATGTTCAGACTCAGTGACAACGGATATGTCTCTGATCGTAACATGGGGATCGCGGCCAAGTGTCTCTACTAATGAGATATAGGCGTCTAGGAACTGGCGCGCTGCGTCCTCGGTGTAGAGGTGGTTGTCGAAGCGAAGGATGACGTGACCAGATCTGGGATGGACAGTAAGTAGGAATTCGTATTGTTCCTCCCCATTGGGTAAGGAGACGGTGGACTTGGTTGTCAAATGGTTCGACTCCAGTTGGGAAATGGTCTCCATGTTCATGCCTCCGGGGGCAAACAAATGCTTGAAGTACCCACGACCGGTAGAGGACGACTTCCCCTCCGTGACAATATCTTCATAAGTAACTTCATCGTGGGCGAGGGAAGCAATCAGCGCGTCCTTGAACTCGCCGAGGTACTCTGCGAATGTCTTGGTCTCATCGATCACGGTTTTGATAGGAAGCAAGTTAGCGAAGAAACCGATAACATTCATAAGCATGGGAAGATTGCGTTGCGTGACAGCGGTGCCCACGACGAATGACGATTGACCCGCAGAGTATTTGTGGAGGAGGATGTTATATGCAGCAAAGAACCCTGCGAAGGGTGTGGCAGTAGTAGCGTTGATTACTTTCGTGTAGTGCTCAAGAGCACCAACTCCAATCTTTGCCTCAATCTGGGTGATAGGTGCCAGCTCCTGATCAGATGGCGTAGCAAGGGTCAAGTGAAGCGGCTGCGTCTCCTGCAAGTTCTCCACCCAAAACTTCAGGTGGTCTTCACGGAGCTCTGTACGGCGTTCTGTGGTCTTCAAGAGCCAATCGCTGAAATCGGAGTAGTGGATCGGAACTTCGGGTAAACTTTCTGGGCCGTTCAAATAGATCTGGAAAAGCTCGTAGAAGAACACGCCGAGTGATGCTTCATCGATGATAATGTGGTGAATCACTACATTGAATGCCCAGTCGCCGCCGCCGAGATCGAACATGGTGGCGATCAAGAGCGGAAGACGGTCGAGCTTGAAGTTCGGCCGTTTGTTCAACGCCAGACTCATCTCGTAGGCCTTAGCTGCAGCATCAGGTTCGCTGGAGAGATCCACAAGGGTTGCTTTGAAGTCCACGGACGGGTAAATTGTTTGTTCGAGCTTCCCGAGCTCCTCATTCCAGGTGAAGGTGGTCCGAAGCGCGCCATGGCGCTGGACGACCTCAGCGAAAGCTTTCGTCATGCGATCGACATCCAATGGTGTCTCGGTGGAAATAGTGACAAAGTAACCCTCATGGGTATCCCACTGGGTAGCTCCATAGCGCGACATGTTGGCATCAATCTTGTTAATCGCGCGCTTACGAGCGTTATCATATTCACGCTGACGAGAAGGAAATAAGCATAGAACATATGTAGATTCCCGTATACAGACCTGAGCCAACCAGATACGATATTGGTGGGGTGAGGCACCGGTCGTGTAAGGTTCGTCATATGCGAGTCGGTCATTGAGGACGGGCACCAGAGGTTCGCCATATTTTCCAGACCCATCATCAGACGCTGCAACAGTGTCACTTCCACCATCTTGTGCGCCAACCTTGGCACACAACTCGTTCAACATGGCAATCGTCATCGAACCCAAAAGTTCGATCTGGCTGACTTGGATGTTAAACCGTGCCTGGAGCTGATTGCTGTAGCGCGTGGCTGGGAACGGTGATCAAATATTAATCAATGGATTTGTAGGGATTACTCACCTCCGAGGGAGTCGAGGCCGAAACTCGTGATCAGGGCATTATCCATGATCTGCTCGATGTCCATGCTAAGAAGGGCAGCAAGCAGGGTCGCTGGCGACTCCACCACGTCACTGCCATTGCCTCCCGCACTGTTGGCCACCAAAAACTTCTTAGGGAGAAGGTGGCTGTACAACAAAGGTTCGCATGACGGGAAGGTATCGGGAACATCGCTAATAGCAAGCATAGGGACATAGTGTGTAATACGGCGAACGAGAGAGTCACCAATGAAGTTGCAAACTTGCGCTGTGGTCATGCCAGTCTTCGTGAGCTGAGCCGTGTTAGCCTTGCCCTTCGTAGCAAGGACAAGCCGCTTGAAGATACCGGAGTCCGTGATGGGAGGGAAGGACATCGAAATCGTATTGGGTAGATCATCAGATATGCGGTCAAGGTAGCTGGGATGACTTAGTCAAGATTCAGAACAATTTGACAAAATTCCTTACAGTTGAGATGCGCAATATGCTGCTTGGCCGGCATTACCAAAGACAGAACCAATAGTAGAGAAAAGAAGCATAAAGTCAATGGTGGTGGGATCGATGCAGGTGATGAGGGTATTGAGAACAGCGACCTTAGACTCATACACATCGTCAAAGGATTGCTGCGTGAGGTTTGTGAACTTTGCATCGCGCAGGACAACTGTCATGACGAAGAGGCCGCCGATAGGACCAGCCTTCTTCGCTCGTTCTACGACAGCAGCAGTTTGGTCCTTGCTGATCGCATCAGCTGCGATAGCTTCGATCTGCACGCCCTTTGAACGGAGGTAGTGGATGTACAAGTTATCAACCTTCGTGAGACCGCGAGGGCCACGGCGACTTGTCAAGAAGACATGGCGAGCACCGTGATTCGCCATCCATTCAGTGATGCGCACGCCGAGCTCGCTGGAACCTCCGACGAGAATGTAACTCTTGCGGGGATCGAATAACTGTCCAACTGGGTCGATACGAACAGAGTGCAGTGAATCTGGGATGGCGACGAGCGAATACGCATCTACGACTTGGGACGACGAATACGAAGAGAATGATGCTAAGTGCGAGCGGAACTTGAAGGGTTGAGAAGTGTGCGCTTCAAGAAGAGCAGCGAGAACCGGGGCAAGTGGAACGGGTGACGCGGCAGCGAAGCGGTTGATGTCCAAAACCTGAGTTGAATAGGAGCCCGATGGAATCTGAGACAACTCGTTTCCTTCAATGTGAATGTATGAGCCAAACACAGAAAGGAGGTCTGCGCCGTGGGCGAACGCCCTCTTTCCGCCAGCATTGAGCACAATATCGAATGCACGTATTGAGTTTGAGCGAAGCCAGCCTAGTACGGCGGTGGCGAAATTGTCGATGGCAATAATATCTGACATGGGCACCTCTATGGTTGACGAGACCGCAGCGGCTTGAGCTCTGTCTGCAACAGTACATAACACTCGACTGCCAAATCGCTTCGCAACCTGGATAGCGCTAAAGCCAGCAGCTGAATTGAAACTGTTAGGTGACGGTGAAGCGGCGAGGGCGTTCATTTCTACTTACCTGAGGTAGCGTCGTGGATAAGGACGATTGAACTTGACTTGATACAACCGCGGACCACCAAACCAATCCAGGATGCAAGGAAGGAGGCGGTCAAGGAAGCAGCATCCGTAGAGCTGACACCAACCGGTAACGAGACAACTGCATCTTGGGGAACGACTACAACGTCCGCAGGGGACTGAGAGGCAATGGCAACAACCTTCCATCACACATTAGCATTAGCAGGCCGACAAGGTAAAGACAAGTGAGACACACAAGACCATCAAGATCGTTACGTGCAACATTCATACCTGTGGATTTGATGCGACCGACAACAGTAAGGGCAGGTTGCGGGGAGGCGTTGACCTCGGTGCCAAGAGCTTCGACAGCGATTTCGATTTCGGATGGCCCCAGCGCGGGCGGGAAATATGCAGAGACAGCTCCGGATTCGGTGATCGAAGCCGCAGGAATGACGGCGTCCTTCACCTCCGCACCGCCGTGGACGAGCCTGCGAACGAAGACTTCACCATCCTTCGTAATCTTCATGTGTTGCTCAAGCAGCAGTGAGTTGCGGCGTAAGTCGTGCACGGCCTTCTCGCGAGCGTCGTTGTCCAGCGAATGATCCTCGAACAATACCGAATAGATCTTGTATCCGGGGGATTCTGCGATGATGCAAGATGCAACACTCAGGGCACCAATACCGGCAGCATCGTCATTTCCGGTGATCCACAACTCGGCTTCTGCGGTGATGTTCTTGGCAATTTCGACGAGGTCACCTTCTTGGCCGTGAGCGAATGGCTGAACGATAACGCTCTTGAATGGTGGCGCGGGAACCACGAGAGCAGGTTCGCTGACACGAATGTAGATAAGAGCCTGTCCGCTCATGAACTCGGTCGCTTGTACGGCTGTTCCGGGAATAGTGGAAAAATTGTCCACTAAGGCTCTGAAAGTGAGTGGTTGAATAGAGGCGTCCTCGACCGCTGCTTGGGAATCTATGGAGAAAATGGGTATGCACTCAAGACTACTGCAACTACCAGCTTACTTGAGACAGTCAAAAGGATGACACCATTGGGTACGAGGAAGTTGGCCAAGGAGGCGATTTCAACGGGGACTGCGGAAAGGTCAACGTGGTATAAAGCGACATCATAGCTACAACACATATAAGCCAAACCGATAGCAATGACATGTTGTAGCTCACCTCAAATGATAACTATGCTCAGTGCCATCGACGAGTTTCCAGGACTTGACTTCTAGAGACCTGGCATGAGGGTACTTCATCAAAGTAGTCTTTGAATCAGCATCTTCAGGAGTGGTGGCAGCGCAAAAGTATTCAACAAGGGCACCAGTGTCTGCGATGAGGTCACCGAGGGTCGAGTCGAGGCTTGTACTGATATCGATGGTCTGCGCCAGGTCGATGGCCCTAACAACTTTGCGACCAGCAATAGCAGCGGCGCTAATGACAGACTTGAAAACAGTGCTCAGGGAGTCCGTCGGGGTGAGGGTGTGCGATGCAGCAGGGAATGACTTCGATTGCCAAGTGGTGGTCAGACGTTCCTCGAGGCTGTTATCATTAATGGTGACAGGTTCTGCGTCGGGAGCACGAGCAATCTCGAAGCCTTCAATGGTGAAGAGAATCCGACCCTCCGAGTTGGCGACGATATAATCGGATTTGAAAGGACCGCCAGGGGCCCACGTCCTTCCTGTGAAGTATGTCCACATGCCTTTCTTGAGCTCTGCGTCCAAGTCAGGTGCGTCACGGCTATCCCAGCGCCGAAGGGCATCGATCTTGACAGGAAGGAAAACACCGTTGAAGTCAAATTGTTTGGTATCCATATTGATGAACATGGCGAGGCCGCACTGCGTGATGCTGTCAAGAATACCAGGGTGTATAACGTAACCATTTCCGAAGACATCGGGGGTCCGCTCTGGAACTTCGAGACGAGTGAGGTAGGCCTTTCCGCCCCAGCTGTTCTCATCGTCAACCTCGTACACGACCTTGAGATAGTCCCTGAAATGCTTCTGATAACGGTAGGCAGAAGGAATTGCGTCATAGAATTCATCTCCAGTGACCGAACCGCGCGCACACGCAAGCCTAGCCTCGAAATCGAACATACGAGGAGCGCTCTCGTCGTAAGCGGGATTAATCCGGGAGAACTGGCCACTAGCATAAACGGAGTCCATAAGGATCTCGCCATCGTAAAACTCGTTGTTGGTTGACGCTTTAAATTGCCACTTGTCGCCATCGATAACGCAGCCTGCGTGGCCAGGGTTGGATCCGGAACCGTTCAAAACGAGGGGCTTGTGAATCGCGATATCAGTGACAACCATTGCACCGTTCTCTAAAATGCTCTCGACGTAGCTAATGAAAAGCGTTAACATCAGAGAAAGATGAAGTGGAAACCACTCACCCTGATGCCGGGAAAAGAACGGCGTCAAAGACGATGTGTCCTGTCAAGTCGGGATGAGTGTCAACGTTGATGCGGAAATGCGGCGTTGCAACTGGGCGAGGCTTGTGTCGAAGCCTGCGGGATTGGTCGCTGGCAGACTCTGCCCAGCAGTACGACTTGTTGTACGGATATTCAGGTAGCTTCGCCTTGGTGAAGTCCGTCGTGCCTTCGGGCGACGCACACAGTTGGTTGAAGTCGACATTCTTAAATCCAGTGCCGAGGAGATTACCGATGCCTTCAAGGAACTGGTAGTGCTCTCCAGTGTTCTGGGCAGGAACCTTGGGGTTGGGCCGACGAATCAAACCTAATAGGTTCACCGCCACATTGCTCGATGTAAGCTTTCAAAACCGGGTGGGGCGCAATCTCGAGAAAGACCACGCCATTGGCACTTTCGTCCGTAACAATCTTGTTGATAGCAGTTCCGAACAGCACGGGGCGACGAATGTTGTCCCAGCAGTAGTTGACATCCAGATCGCGGTCGAGCCACTTGCCGTCCGTCGTGGACATAACCTTGGCGATCGGCGCCATCGTACCCTGAGACAATGAAGTACCAGCAACGCGTTCCTTGAAGAGCGCCTCCTGTGCTTCCATGAGCGGGGTGTGGAAGGCACAGGTAACACGAAGTTTGGCAGCGAAAACTTTGACACTGGGGTCCTTTGCGTAGGCTTCTAGCGCGTCGACAAGTTCACTGCCTTCCAGCGACCGTAACAGCTTGAGGGGAGTTGACGCCCTGCGATCCACAGACCCGATGGAACCTTGGCATCAGAAAGGACCTTGCGTATCACTGTCTTCGCTTTCTGCGCCCCGACCCCAAGCGCAACCATGGCCCCGTTTCCCTCAGCTTGCACCATAGCAGCTGCACGAGCAGTTGCAATGCCAACAGCCATCTCACGGTCGTAGTGACCGGAAGCATAACCCATAGCGATCTCACCAATGCTAAGAAAATTGTCAACAATGGTCAGAGAACAAGGACGCGAACTTGCCTGTGTCCGACGACAAAGTCGTACTTGATACCCAGGCTGCGAATGAGATCGACCATAGCGACTTGCACAAACACCAAACCGAGTACGACCTCTTGTACAGGCCAAACACCATTGGATGGGAGCTTGCAATCGACACCCGGCAAGAAGAGACCTGTGCGCTCCAACATGGATGCTTGACCATATTTCTCAACCAGTATCCTGTCGTTCTCCTTGATCGAGTCGAAGAATACTGGGTAAACCTCTGCGAGTTGACGACCCATATAAATATGTTGAGGACCTTGGCCTGAGAAAACAAGACAAAGCTTGGGGCTCTTATTGGTGTTAGTGAGAACAGGTTTGGAGAACCTGGTAGTGGCGTCCAAGGTAGATGTGACGGCAAATGCACGGGCAGTATAGGCGCGAGTCTGCCTACCAAGGTCACGAGCGAGGGAGCGAAGAGTACGATCGTCAGTGACACCTTCGTATGCCATGATGAGAGCATCCTTCCAACGTCCGAGTGCGGACTCCGTGAGAGATCCGACAGAAAAGAGGTACAAGCGCTTGGTAGATGGCGTTACCGGTGGCATACTGGTAGGAAGGTCCGCCACAGTCTCAGCGGTTTCCAATACAACGTGTGCGTTAGAACCACCGACACCATAGGATGAAATGGAGGTAACCCATTTTCCGTCCTTCGCAGCCATCTCGGGACTAATCTTCTCCAGCTCTGTTTGAACTCGCATTTTCAAGGCAGGGAAATCGATCTTCGGGTTTGCCTTCATGAAGCGGATATTTGGAATGATCTCCTTGTGGTGCAACATCATCGAAACCTTGACCAGACTTGCAAGGAAACTGCAACCCTCGGCGTGACCAATGTTCGCTTTGACACTACCAACACGAAGGGCCTTCTTGCCATCCCTGCCCCTGGAGAAGACCTTGCCAGCAGCATTGGTCTCGATCGGGTCACCAACCTTTGTACCTGTCGCGTGCAACTCAACGAAGAATGTTTCAGCAGGATCGCGATGAGCAACACGGTAGGCCTCCTTGATCGTCTCGGCTTGCATATCACCTTCGGGCATGGTCAGGACTCTTCCCTTTCCCATTGGCGTTGATGGCACTGCCAGGTGATAACAGAATAAATAACATCTCCATCTTGAAGTGCACGGTCAAGCCGCTTAATAAGTATAGCAGCGACACCCTCGGCTCTGCGATAAGTGGTAAAGGCCCAAAAACCAGTCATAAAACCAACGACGTACCTGGCGTAGCCGTCCGCCGACGCGTCGAACGACTTGGAAGACCCAGTGGGTGACAAGACACCCAACTTTGAAAACGAAACAGTGTGCTCAGGGTTAATAATTGTATTTGCGCCTGTTCGACTAAGTTCATCAGGCTACCAGCCCAAATAAGCAGGGAGCCGCTACTGACCCACGACAAGAGCCTGATCGATTTCGCCGAGTTTGATGGAGCAAAGGGCAAGATGAATAGCAGTCGCAGACGCCGAGCATGCTAAAAAGGACCGATTTAGCACCTGAAGAACTTCGATGAGAGAATTACAAACCGGTATCGACGGTCAAAGAAGGTCCGCGGAGATCAAAAGTGAACGAGATACGATTGGCGCGAATGGAGACACAACGCCCGACACCATTATAGTTGTTTATTTCATATCTGTCATCGTCAAGTTCATCTGTCGTAGTGAGCAAGTTGCCGAAGAAGACCCCAGTATTGGAGCCCCTGTAATCAATGCCCGAATCTTGAAGTGCCTTCATCGAACATGATCAATACTGATCAATAAAAGGGGAGAAGAATGGATCGCTCACCGCATGTGCAGCCTCGAGCGTCAGCCTAATTGCGGGATCGAAGTGGGCAGCTTCCTTTGCAGAGATACCGAACTCGAGATGGTCGAATTGATCGATACCGTTTATGAAACCAGCCTTCGTGCAGTGGTACTTTCCAGGTTCGTCTTTGCCACCTGTAACTGGAATCAGCACTACCGCCTGCTATCACAAGGCACAATGCGCGACGTACCGTACCACTCAGCATGAATCCATCGATCAGCGGGCGGCTCAACCATTCCATCACCCTTCGAAAGGAAGACATTAGCTCAATCCATCCACGGTCATAGGAACGGAGCACGCACTTTCGACCTAAGGAACTCATAATACAACTCCTTGTTATCAGAACCTCCAGGAAACTTGCAGCCAATTCCAATGACGGCAACAGGGATCTCTGCGGACATTGTGTGTAAACGACTTTCGCTCGTATGGGAATTTGAAGTTGAAGAGGGTGTTGCAGTTGCAAATAAAAATAATAAGTTAGAATGTCAGTGTGCAGGCTGTCTCCGAGCAGGAAATAATGTGGTCGTTAAGTGATGTCGCAGCAGAGATATCAGTAGAGGAGAGGTATTACGAGTGGGACAGGCCAGCTCCCAAAGCGGTGTGAAGATCTTGCAGAGAAGGATAATCAGTCCGGTTCTTATGTAGTATCAGCCTCTCTGGCGCATCGGGGCGTTTACGCACACGTACTGTACCGCATTAATGATCACGGAAATTGAAAGCATGGTCACTCTGATAGGGTAGTCAGCACAGCACTGATCTGGACCTGATCATTACGCCAAGAATTCGGATCGAGACACAGGCGTCAGATTCGTGGGTTAAGCGAAGCACTCACTGACACTGCCTTCGACCATTGACAGTACCTCCCACTGACGCCTGTCCAGCATCGACCTCCAAACAAAAACTCCAGCTTCGTTAGAGTATAACCATGGTTTTCAAAGCGTGAGATTCTGGAACTTCTGGCACTATCGCACATGCGAAGTTATGCATTGTAGCCTCCTTATGGAGAGGCTGAAGTTGTGTGGCTGGACCAAATTTGCAGATCATTACGTGGCGATGTTGACTTTCTTATTTTGGTAGTGGCGGGCTGTTGCCATCAAATGTTTCCATTGGGAGTCCAATTGAATGTGATCTAATGCATCATCGCATTCCAAACGACCGCGTTGGTATGGCTACAGCCCTTTCATCCTTTCTGAAAGAGAGTACTCCTAGGAAATACATGATACAAACGCAAACTTGACTCTCTACGTTAGTCCTGAAAAATGTACACCATTGCCTGCCTACGTCGATGTATCGGTCCCCTGGCATGTCTGGCTGTGCCGGTTTCATCATCCCATCACTTTCATTGACAACCGACCATTAACACTCGTGTTGCCAATGGCGCGGAGGTACAGCCCCACTGTTCCTCCCCCTTGCAAAGTCTACTGGGCCTTCAGGGCATATCCCAGGCTCCTTCAAGTCATCTGCGGTTCGCCTGAGGCAAATTCCGATTAACGCTGTGTTCCGAGGTTCCAAGGCGATGTCTGTTGATGGGCCCCTGGACAGAAATTGATAGGATCAAAGTCTATGCCGCCGGGTATGTGCATATTACTTCTTCACACTCAGCGTTTTGCACAGCTAATCATCTGCTCCACACGTTGCGCAACCCACAGTACCGAATGCAACTGCTTATTGCGCAGACGATGAGCTTGTTGCGATTATTACTGAGTATTCAGGAGGTAACAGTTCGCGGACTGTAAGTGACGTGCGCTATATGTATGTTCGCTCAAAGGCGCAGGGTTCGGGACGCGAGTTCTTTGACGGTCAAGGTCGCCCGCCGATGGACGTCATCCAGAATATACATACTTCTATGCTAATAAGCCAGGGAAACCAGTCATTTGTAAGTGTCTCACTCCAAGAGAATCGCGCATCTTGTGAAATAAGCAATCAACCATCGCTACGTCGATTATCGACGAAGGTTGATTTTGCAGGGACTTCCCTTAAGACGTTCAGAAACTGAATATATCATTTCAATAGGAGATCAGCCTTGCTGCGCTTCACAAACCACGCTAATAATGGCGTATCGATGGTTCGCGACCGTAGTCGATTTCTGGTTATCCGCGATCTGGTACCTTCTGGTGTCCAGTTGACGGGTAAATCGACGGCTGTGCATCCGACTGCTCAGTACCGTATCCAGCAATGGTGCCGCATATCGCGACTTGGGTTGTGTGGCTATTCAGGCTGCAGCATGTATTGAGGTGAGTTTGTGATGCACGAGTCTATGGATAAAGTTCTTGCCAAAAAGAAAGGTAGGGTGTCGCGCTGTTCGCTGATCCACGCGACGAACACACCTTGTTACAATGCGTTAAACCTCGAGTACTACTACCCTACACAAATCACAACTGCATTCCTCCAGGGCGGAAAACGAGGCAGATGGCCCGCGAATGCACGAACTGACCCACGGATTATAGCCTTCCAAAGCCGTTATTGTCACCTGGAGGTTCTGGGGAACATCACGCTAGTCTTGCTTCACATTTCCCCACGGGACAGGTCCACCTGGTGGAAACCACGGGCAAGAACGATCCCTCGTCGATGCTGCGGCATTAGTGATCTTCCACATGGTAATATGTAATGTCAGTTAGGACACGTGCCGCACAATAACACGTGAGGGCCTTCTCCAAGTTTCGAAGGTCCGTGGCGTGCGTTGGTAGTGCGAGCACATTGTACTCGAGGAGATGGCAAGTTTCGGAGAACGGCCGCCAGTTGTACGTACCAACATCGTCGGCGCGGATCAAACTTCTGTGGCGTGGCCAATTACGCCAGCCCCCTCGATATAAGGTTGCCCGACAAGACACGTTTCCCAAAGGTCCCTGAGAGTGAGGCCCACACAGTGTAAGTCGCAGGCGAACTCGTGACTTGATGTTTGAGGGTGAAAATCTGGTTTTCAAGCTTCCGCTGGCATGGTATCAGTCACAAGGCCATTAAGACTGGGCTAGTCAATAAAAAGGCTTGCCAGGTAAGTCCCACATCGGTTCGTACTTACTGTATTCGAGAACACGCGGAGCAAAGTTCGAGCTTGTCGGAGGAAAGGACCACGTGGGTCGGTCGATGACCGACCTGCTGGAGGATTCTGGATTACATTCGGACTGTTCTGTTTTCTGTCCAGATCATTGTCCGATCACCCTGGCCGCAAGCTAGTGACATGGCGCTCATCTATCCTCAATCCAGGCCTCCAAATCACCAACAATGGTCAATCTGTCATCCCACATAACTGGCTCGGAAGGTCTTGAGGTCCAACTTCACCTTATAAAGAAGAGAAGACACCCCATCAATGGATAGCCTGGCGGATGGTCATGCAGTCCTGATGAGTCTTGAAAGGAGAAGCAAAAGTCAAAAGGACGAACGGCGGCCGATTCATCTGACAGCAGTGGCTGAACCCCACCAGAACTTGTCCAAACTGGCACATCGAGACGTGAGCTACTAGTCGGACAAGCTCGGACATGCGACATGTCAAAGATCTTCCTATTCCAGAAACCTAAGCACGGGCAACTTGATAGTGCCCTGCACCCTCTTCAACCTCGTGAAGAGGGTTCGCGAGGCACAAGAAATCCCCAGGGTAATGTCGAAAACGTTTCACGGATCTCACGTTACTCCGACGTTTCACAAAGGGCCGCAACTGTACCCACCGAACACGTGATTCCGCGGGGATCCGATCATGGCACTCGCCACGAGATTCCACATTGACCAACCTCGCATATCAGTAGCTTTGAGCTGGGGGTGCAAACATGTCGTCCTTGACGGATAATAAGATTCTCATGTTCCATTTTGTGACCAGTGAGAATGTATCGCCTCACAACTTCCCTGTCTATACCTTCAGGGGTGTCCCCATCAACCTTCTGGAACCCTTTTATCTGCTCCGGCTCGAGGTAACCGAATTTGTGCTAGACGAAACATTTATTGTGCGGCTTCAGACGCCACAGTCTGCGTTCGACAGCGCTTCGTACGCTGAAGTAGCCAAGTCTAGCAGGCAGTGACACGTTTTTGTTCACACAGGGCCGAAAGATACATTCACGTGATTTTGGCGCGTAGTGTATTTATTGTTGCTTATTTGCTACCACCGTGAACGGATCGGCTATTACAAGGTCATTATATACGCCGCGCCTCGTGGACACGGAACCCCACAAGTTTCTCTCTCTCTCTCTCTCTCTCGTTTTTTGTCGTTATTCCATCTGGTCGTGTCTTGGCTTCAGGTAAATGCTTGCTGTTCTCCTGGTGTAGTCGATGGCGGTGATTGATCCGTATGCTTCTATCATATACGTCATCGATGACGGGGCTGTATTTTAATGCAGTGGTAAAGGGCAACCACGCATTGACGACGTGGCGCGTATGAACCTTGGCCTTGACTTACAAGCACGGACTGCGCAGGACGTTCGTTCGTTAGATCTGCCTCCATCTGTCTTCGTTGATCACAGTCACTATCCTACAACTGGGCTCCGAATCTGCTGCATCCCAGCTAATCGCCTCGCCTTCACTCGAACAAACCATCGTCATCGTGCCTTAGAGAAAAGGAATCGACAATGACTGCCATTTCTTCGACGCAACTTGCTGCACATCCCCAGCCGCGAGCATGTGCGCTGTCTCATTCGTCGAGTTCACGGGTAGCTCTCCATGACTCCACGAACACCAGTCCGTGCCTAGGTAAACGCAGCATTGACCAAGTTCAACCCTACTCGACGAAACGCGTCACGTTTCCGACGTCTTCGGCTCGTCTCCAAGGGTCTCCCTCCCGCTGCTACGGTTTTTCAGGTTCACCTCCTCGCTTTCCTGTTGCACGCAAGGCACCACCAACAGTTTCAATATCATTCTCTTCTGCCAGTTCGCAACGTTGGGAAAGCGGACTCGATGCCCAGGATCTAGAACTCCCAGATGTAAGGAACGTCGTACCGTTCCCATGTGCTCCATTGGATGGCAATGGAGATATCGAGATGTTGGATGGAACTTGTCTCCCATCTGCGCCTGGCCTCCCAGCACACTCACTTAGTCTACCGTTACCTCTCCGACGCAAGCGTCGCTCAGCATACTCTGCCTCCGCTCCTACCTTACCCTCGAACCGAAAGGACAGGCCTGATAAAGACTTGACAGACGGATCGGTCAGGAAGAGGGCGCGGAGGACCAGACGGCAGACAACGGATATATTTTGGTTGAGTGTGATACACAGGAGTATCTCAGTCGGACTCTGCGAGTCCGAATCCACCCCTCCTTGCCGCGTTGATACATGTGCATGCAATGACGACGCCGAGTGTCGACGGGTGCGCCGGAAAACAATCGAAGCGCAGGATCGTCTTTTGGCAGGAAAGATATGGCAGAAACTTGTAGACAACGGATGCCATTCGGGTCCAACGACACGTGACGAACGAAGGATAGTGCCCTTACTTCCTAGTCAGTTATCCCTCTTGTTACCAATGTCAACGCCCTCAGCGCTGATGCCTTCGGCAATCCTGACTCTTCCCATGCCTACAGGTGAAGCTAAGCTCGAAACCGGTGTAGACCCCCGGAAGCCGTCAGCCGCGGCATCCTCGGTTATCATTCTTGAGTTTCCACACCCTCCTAGTCCGCGGTCAAACCCACTTTTCTTTCCGAAGCCCTCTTCCCCCATTGCTATGCCGTCTACTCTGCAAATGATTTACGATGACTTCCCTATGCGACCTCCAACGACTCTAGATGAAAAGGATACTCGTCCATACGCGTCGTCCACCGAGATTGAACCAACATTACACCAAACGAACCTTCGACGATCGCCGTCTCCTCCGTCACTTCAACGTAGACCCCTTCCATCGCGGTCTGCCACCCCAACCTCACAGTCGCCCACACCCTTGACGATGCCACAGCTTGTCGCATCCCTTATCCTCTCTCACCGCGAGCGGAGCAGTCTGAGGACAAAAGGGAGAAGCTCGAAAAGCAACTCGGGAAAAAGCAAGAGGGAAGAAGCCGATCGCACCAGAGAATCTGCTAGTCAGGAAATTGGTGCTTCACCTAAGGAGCTTGAGGACCGACATGAGAGTGCACGCACACCAAAATCGCAAGTACTTCGGAATGCCGGGAGGCGATCACCATTGTGCCAGGTTGCATACGTCGACGATCCGGAGTTGAACAGCCCCTGCTAAGGCGGCGAGGCTTTTGCTCTCTCGATATCGTTCCTGGTCGCCTTCTCATTGACGGATCATGCCGGACGCTTATGTCTACTTACACACAGGCGTTCACGAAAACATGTGATGAGTCTTTTGACATGACTTTTACGCCTCCCATCACTCGCCTGTCGTTACTGTCGCTTGTAGTTACTCTAGATACTGCGTATCTGCTCTACTCGACTCTGCATAATCTCCGCGATGTAGTACAGCGGGTCCTTGTGTATGTGAAGAGGAAAAGGAGTAAAGCGGCGCGAACCCGCACTCCGCGACTTGACGAGATACAGATTCAGATCAACAGGAGCCGTCCTAGGGGACACCCGTAGATAACGATTGATTGATAGTATACAAATGTCGATCACTCCCTCCATAAGCATAAGTTGGTCTCGAAGAACTAGGTCGATCAGCGACCTCCTTCCCTAGCACTTAGGAGAGGCTTCGACTCGGAGACCCTATGTTCCTTGTTCCCTCGTCAGAAGACAATATTTGGTATGTCAGAGAATGTTCAGGAGGCGGATGAATTTGTCGTGCCGTCCCGACTCGATCCTTGCTCAATCCCCAACTTGAGCCGTGAGGAATTCCCCACTTCCAGGAGTCCCCCTTTCATCATCACTCCTCTCCACCCTGCAACCACTGCTGGCAACATGCAACTTCCGAGAGCAAGGACTCTGGTGCCAGCGCACCTACCTCACCTTCCACCTGAAATATGGGATCAGATCCTCGATGCTGCGGCGTATGTCCCATATTCTTTGCCCCCAGAGATTTTGGAAAGATCACACCTTATCGGTCATCCTTACAACTCCGAGTGTCGTGCCGCGCTTTGGAGCGCCCTCCTCACAAACGGCGCTATAGTTCGTGTGTGTAAGCAGTGGTGGCACCTTGCAATTCGCTACCTTTATCGCGCCATTTACATCCGAGACACTCGCGATCTACTCTCTCTCCGCAGCACTCTGCAGAGCTACAACGAGGGAAAGGGAACTTTTTCAGGGGTGGACCCTCTCGGATGGTGGACGCAGCGGGTAGATATCATCTTTGACAATGATATTGAAGGAGACGCGGACCAGAAGTCATTGGCAGGCATCTTTGACTTCTTGCCTAACGTCGCAATCTTTTCAGGGACATTCTCTGGCAGTTATTCGAAAACTTATATGCCGCCCACTGTCCACGCTTTGCGAGATTGTGCGTCTTCGCTGCGAATCATTGATTGGACCGCTTCAGACGATAACGCCCCGGACCCTCGCATACTGCGTCAGTTTGAGGTACTGGTGAAGGACCTGCCCAAACTTCGTATCCTAAACTTGCCAGGCCTACGACAGTGGGCAGATGGTACTATAACCAACTCTACCCTTGCTTCGGTTCGCACCCTCTGTCTGCGAGATCTCATCGAGGGATTTCAGTACAGGGAGCAGGAACAGGGGACACCTCTGAGTCTCCGTGAACTCGTTCTCCATGCCCACCCACGGTGGCAAGAGGCCTCATGGAGGAGTTTTTTGCATCATTACGGCCCACACCTCACTTCGGTACAGCTCCGTGCCATCGGTGATCCAGAGCTCATCTCAGTTTATCTGCCCATGGTAAAACAAACGTGCCCAAATCTCCACCGCTTAACGCTCTTCTTGCTGTCGTTCTCAGACATGCCGACGCATTCTCTCCCTCCCATTGAATACCTCGGATTGAGCATCAGACGACTCCAGTGCAGGGCAATGTTTGAGACCCTGTTCTCTGTTCTTCTTGTCCTTAAAGAGGAGCTTCCTACACTCCACATAGTGCAGCTGCTAGACCAACAAATTGTGGAGGATCTCCTCAGGTATAATCTGCCTGTGGTCTCCGGCGCAGTTGAACAGGGTCTGATCGGAGATGCATTCCGTTTGGAGGATCATGACGGAAACCCCTTGTCTAGTGAGTAAACGGATAGTATTTTCCCTACATTTTTGCCCATAATGTGTCGTACAGTTAAAGTCGTGGAAGCGCAGAACTAGACACCATCGCGATCATTTCAGGTTGCTTTGGCGTCAATCACGGGGATGATGTCATAGTTGACATTCATCTACATGCTTACAAGCACAGACCGCTTCTATGCCTCGGCTGAAGTGATTTACGGGCGAGAATACATACACATCAAATCTGTAGAACTCAGTATAAATTGTGACAAGCCAAGTTGCCGACGTATCGAATGCCCTCGAAGGAACCAATATGAATTTACTTGATAGTGGACTGAGGTTTACGTACCATGTAATTAAATGCTGGACTTTGGTAGCGCGTAGTTGATAAAATAGTACATAGTTCGGAGATATGCGTAAGGTTGCTATAGGTGTCATGCCGTGACTTCATGATCGGTGTAATCAAGGAGTTCAGCGATCTCTCGTGAAGCCGTGTTTTGGGTTACATTTGTTCTCCTGGATTACAGGTATGGACAGACAAGAATGGATTAGACTGCAGTCTGAAATGTCGTTTGCGTCATGCTTGATCTACGATTTAGCGTTGTCAGACACCCAAGCTTGCTCGCCCGCACCACTTCTACATGGAAGCTCGCTGTCACACTTGCAGGGACGTCCTCGTTTCCTTTCCAATCCGCCTAGCATCGCACACGCCCATCCTGCACTGCACGATCTCCAGTATTCACGACAGGCTGGCGAGTTGGCAGACGTCTTCGTTTTCATGGTTCCGTCAGCTAGTGACCCTGCTGTGAAACAGGAAGTGATCCACGCACTACAGGATTTGGAGGGCGTCGTGAGGGTCGATGAACTTGTGGCGCGTAGAAGGGCGAAGAGAGATGAATTTTAGGGCTCTCAGAGGCAAGCCATACTGACAGTGACGTTCTAACCAGCCATTTTTGTCGTTTACTGCCACTGTGTGCTTCGCCATAAAAGTGTTACATATCCACGCTTCTATCCCTCGACTCAGTCGCACATGCCTGATAGTTGGTGTCTCCCGTATACTTTCGACCTTACTAGACAGCACACTGCCCATCCAGTTGAGATCCGCTCGCGGCCTTGCGACGATCTATAATGGGATTCCGGAAGACGTTGCACAGCGCGACAAACGTGGGCGACTGGATTCTACACTGCATCTTTTTGCTTGATGGCCGCCAAGTGATCTCCACGATACGCATGTAGTCTGTTGCTCGGAAGTCATGCAGTGTAGCTTCATACAAAACCCAAGACCACGTGTGGTATTCGCAAGGTGGATAGGAGGTGTTTACTTATGTTTGTACCGAGTTACGATTGGTTGCTGGGAAGACGGCCGATGTCGTCGGAATGTATTGTTGAATTGGCGACCTACGTTCCCTACGTGTTGGTCCCAGAAGTTTACGGAAAGTCGTTCTGCGTCGGGTTCTCGTCTGCAAACAATGGCAACAGATGGCAAGGCGCTGCCCTTATCGTGCTATGTTCATTCGTTCTGCATTGGATTTATTTGCAGTCTGCAGTACGTTACAGAAGTACACTACCAGAAACGGTAGTTTCATCGGAGTTCGGTCCCCTGGTCAGTGGGCGCGGAGGCTAGTTCATTACCACATGGATATCACCCACGACACCGACCTAGACCACTGTTGGAAGTTTGGCAGACGTCATCAAATACATGTTAAAACTTGAATTCGTTTGATTCACAACCCCTGATTCTTCAGGATCCGACACAGTCAATACACCATTCGTTGTCCTCGACGCGTTGCGGTATTCTGCAAATTCATTGCGCGTCCTCTATTGGTTGAATTCTTACCTCTACCCTCAACAACTCAAGCTGGAGGAACTTTTGAGGGACCTTCCCAATTTGCCTAAGACGATCAAGAGAATTTGTCGTCTGGTGGGTGTGAAGTCGACAGCACATGTTTACACCCACCCTTGCAGATCGATTCCTGGGAAGAGGTGACCTCGCGTGTTCACAAAGTTAGATATCTTTGCTGGCAAGAATGGGCACAGGTCATTCCCCTCAGGCGGCACACTGACGCTGCACGGGATTGCTCACGTAGTTTACCGAAGCGTTTTAGCGAACGTCTGTATTCTCGATGTTATGATAACCAAATTTTGTAGCCTCTACGAACTTGGTTGGGCAGGTACGTAGGGAACATTTGCAATGCTTTCAGTTATTCGAATCGGAGCCCTGGAGAACTTGCCCATGGTATGTATCCACGTCGCGCCGCACCTAATCGACGACCATGATGCCGTCTCACTCGTCACGAGTTGTCGTTTCCTTCAGTGGAATGCAAAACGGAGAGAGACCACGACTACTGGTTGGCCTCCCCGAGAACAATTTAGGAAGACTTCGTTTATGAACTACGGCAATGATCAAGATGAATTACTTTAACGTCGGTGAGGATACCTATTGACTCGGCTGGTACAATTTATTAAGAATACATCAGTACATTTGGATAGGATAGGATAGGATAGTATAAATGATTTATATAAATACGTACTTGCACGCATAGCGCACAGTATATAATAGCTATACCAAGCAGATGCCTAGAACTCGCATACCTCAGTACCTGCCGAGAGCGTTAAAAAGCGTAGAGAGCGGTAGAGAAAGCCTCTCCAAGGCGTTCGTCAAACGTAGGACGGTATTGTGATCCTTTCGGAACTCATAAGGCGCGGATTCTAGCCACTGACTGTCGTCCGGTTGTCTGTGGCTGACGACCCCTTGAACACACTTGATCAAGAAGCCTACAGACTGGTAAACTTCCCCTGCAGAACGTTGTTAGTCCTTAAGAATGCGCGCGACGCTGATGATGATTACACGTACTGAAATTGGGACCTGTTTTGTCATATTCAAGCTTCAGAACGTTGAAGTAATTGTGACTAAGCCCCCAGAAGTTGGTATTCGTGACCACTGCGTCGCGTACTTCCTCTGCAAGGTAAAAAGTGGTGTTACTGTCATTCTGGTATGAGACAGAAGGTAGGATAAACGCACGATCGAAAGACAGGACACGTAGGGCAGTCGTAACGCCAAGAAGTTCTGCAGCCTTCCGGCTGTCCAGTTTCGATAAAAGTCCCTCGATAATAACGGGGCGCAGGTGCTCTGATGAGGAAGGTGAGATACACGTGATGACGGAATGATGCACGACTCACCGTTGTGAATGAAGGCCGCACGTAGGATGGCGGCTGCATTTCTTTGCAAGGGCAAGTGAGGACGGGCCAATGCTTTCAACATGGGGGAGATTATCGACTCCCTGCAGGTGATGCTCTTGCCGTCGTCTAGAAAACATACATTACCGTCAAACGTTAAGAACGACATCTCAACATGTCGCAACAACTGACCATGTTTAATGACTTCTCGTAGGTACTGCAGGCCAGCGTACACAGTATCGCTATTCTCCCCTGCCAGCATACTTTGCAGCGCATCCACGGTGCCAAGGTCCAGAATGGCAGCCCTAAGCGGACCTGCAGCTAGTGAGCGTGGAGATCACTATGAGATCGCTTTCACTTACCAATCTCCAGGACGCGCTGTAAGACTCCTACACCGTCTTCGCCATTGTCTCCGTCAAACCAGCGACGCTTTAACATGTTCAAGATGTAGCCAGGCGCCTCGGACTTGGTGACCGTATCCACTACATGATCTGCTAGATGTCAGAGCGGGTCCAGCTGGCAAGTTCCGAACTGACCAATAGCCATGAGGTGTAATAGGGCAGAAGCCGCAGGTAGGGCACGCGACTTCTTCCGTAATTGAGAGATGAGGTCTGAAACGGTCCGCGCCTCGTCGAGGGCACGTTGCACCAACACAGGAACTGAATCATGCCTGGGAGTTAGCACTCTAGACGAAGACCAAGGAACTCTTCTCACTTTCAGCGTTGAGAGCTACGAGGCCGCGGATAGAACCGTCACGGTGGTTGGCTCGAGGACTGCGGGCGTCCTTCGCTAGCTTCATCAAGAGACCACTTTTAATGATTGCCTGCTCATCTGTTCCGAGGGCATTCTCATCAGATGACGGCATCTCGCAGAAGAAAGACGTTTGCAATACCATGCTTCGCAAAAGTGGCCAATCCCTTCGCACCAGCTTCCATCACTGCGTCCGAGCGTTTGCGGAGCATATCATTAAATAGTGAAAGTGCGCCGCTCTCTAATAACGTGGCCCGCATCGATTCTGGGAATAGCAATCAGCGAAAAGCTCTGAATTGTCTATGGGGCGATTACCATCAGCGGCTATTGGACAGACCACTTCTACAGCAGCCGGTGCAACAAAGTCGTCAGACCGCCGAGCAAGGCCCAGTAATGTTGGAACGATGTCTTCACGGGACATGATGGTATGTGAATCTACCTGCTTACAGTGTTAAGTATGACTTGCGGAAAGAGGTCGGGGGCTGGATACATACGGAGACCAGCTAAGCTGTACAACGTGCGTAGCACTGCTACTAAGACGGCGTCATCTGTTTAGCATCAGCACAACATACAGAAACGTGGCGTGATCCTCACGCACGGTCGTCGTGCAACGCATTCCACTAGTTCCTTTACTCCTCCCAATGGCAATGAGTTTCGAAGCCAAAGTGCCATCCACTAGACAGAGATTTCCATTAAATATCAGCATGGTATCAATGATATGAAAGGCAGGCCTACGTTCTAATAGCGATGTTAGTGCCTGGGCACTATGCAATGCTACGGTTGATGCGGAGATTCCCTCTTGTTCCCTCTGCTTTCGATCAAAGGCAGTATTACAGGCGTTGGTTAGGCGGATGAGCCGTCGAAAATTGCGATCTTCGAGCAGTATCTCCCTAAGCCGGCTATTCTTACATAGCGACTGGCAAAGGACATGCATGCGTGAAGTTGTTGTCCTTTAGTCCTTGTCGTGCAAGAGGCTTTCAACGTCTGCTGCGAGACGTTCAAGACCCTTTAGTTCGGCTGCGGCATTATCGAATTGTAGTGGCCATTCCCAGCCGACTTCGGAGTACGTCATGGCAGCGCAAATCCGTATCCAGTCGTTTTGATGATCTAGTAACGACGCCAATGTTTGCTGGGCGTTCGAAGCGTGTGCAATGGCCTTTCGACCATTATCTACGTTGCTAGCTCGTCATAAAAGCCTGCAGTGGAAGAGGGCGTGAACGTACCAAAGCTAGCCATGAACGACAACCTTTCGAGGGCGTCCAAATTGGCCCTCAGCGGTTGTTGAGCATCAAGAAGACTCTGCACCGACCGGCTGTCGAATATGTCGGTTTCCCATGTGGAAGACAAAGAGGAGAGGTAATTGTGGCATTTGGGGTCATTCCAGAACAGAGCTGGCGGCCATGACTCAAAGTTACGATGGAATCTCGCGTATGGTTTGTAATTAGCCTTGAACAAAGCTGATATATGCACTTTCTGTCCTGGCAGTATTCGACGAGAACCACCCATGTGCGGCCTACATTTGTAATGCTGAGATATTAATCACGCTAGATGGAAGGCTTCCTCACCTGAAAGTAGTCTGGTTGGTGTTATTGTAACACAGGCGTCGGAAGGGCAGCAACTCCAACCCCCACCATAATAAGTTAAGAGGTGGCGTTATGGATTTGTCTAGGTCATCAATTTTCCACATGAGATTTGACGGTTTGAAAAGGAGTCCAGCTGCGCTGGCTTCGCTACGCATCCATAACAATGGGATATCCCCTGATTGTAGTCTCGGATTACGTCTGTTGCCGCCGCCACTGTCAAAATATGGTTAATACGATAATTCGGGGGAAGAGATGAAAGGAGACGTCAACTTACACGTCTGAGTGACTACCTGGGAACCAAACTTCTTTGATAGTGATCGTCGTTCACTGGGTTCGCCCGACCTCCATATACGTACTCTGGTAGGAAACTTGACACGCCTTTCATCCAACGCGAGGGCATGTCGGAAGTGGCAGACGTGATCAGCAAGAGGTAACCGTCAAGGGTAGCGGCTTGCTTCGAAAAGTACCAACGGATGAAACCGTGTCCCTGAGAGCGGATCAGCGCCAGATGAGATGGCTGTTGAGTGGATTTACCAGGCACCGACGAAATGAACCCGGACATCTGCCCTGCAGAATGTCGATTTGAAGCTCTCAGCCAATAGCTGTTGCTCTGAATTGTTGGCTGGCTCTTCGAAACGAGTTTGAAACTCGTTGAAACCAGCGTCTGATTTGGAGTACACGGCGTAAGCACTGGACCCGGATTGAGATCAGGTTAACATGGTATTACAAATCACACATACGAAGATACCAGCTCGCTATTGCCGGGATGTACAAGGCCAACCTTTATGTTCAAGTTAACGTGTGCTTGTATGCTGCTGGAAAGTGCTCACCCTCTCGATCATGCCAGCCAAGGCCCGCACCTGATATGCCCCCCGAGAGAAACCTAGGTAACTGAATTAGACGGCGGGAAAGTCAGGTGATCACACGAATCTCACCAAATAGAAATATCTTGTCTCCATCTTCGTACGTGTTAGACAACCATTCATAGGCCTTTCATGATCCTTTCTTCCAGGTGCCTGTGAACATATCAGCTAACGGTTAACTTTGCAGCGACACGACGCTACCGAGCAACGGCTATGTCCATGACATCTGATATTTGGCGCGTGAGATCATAATGACCGGGTATTTCTGGCGCGACGCCAATCCCCTTGCTGTAATAAGTGAGCTGTTCGTCCGACTTCTCAAGTTGACTGTAAAGTTCGACGATATTTGTGTTCTGAGATGATCATTCAGTTTGGATGACCTCGCTACGAAGGAGAAACCATACCTTGACTCCGAAGCGATTACATGTGCCGTCGATGCACACTACGAGATTCCTAGAGGAAGCACCCAGCTTAGGCGGTAGACACTTGCAAGTAAAGGACGGCTCATGCTGCTCAGCAGACATGACGAGAAGGAAACTGACTACTGAATGCCATACACAAGTTCAAGCCTTCTGATATATCTTGAAGAAGCGCCGATACTGCGTTTCGTATCGCTGCACCTAGTACATCACATGAATCAATGAAATACGTTCCACAATGTGTTGGGTGAATGGCATTGCCAATAGCCGTGCGGATTCAACATGTTGGACTGTATGACAGCCGTCATATCGCGACGTCCCCGGACTGATTGTCGTGGCTGTTTTGCCAGGGGGTTGCCCCAACTACACTCCGCCACCGGGGAAAGGCATATGTCGTGACCGACTCCGGACTGCGATCACGGCCCTACTGAGAACGTTCCTCGATAAAATGAGTACAGCCGACAAACAACGCAGAACCTTTAAGCTACGCACGTATTTTGCATGGTTTCGACGTCGAGGTAGCACGCTGGCCGCGGACTTAGGCTACCCCCAATAGATATCGCAAACAATGGGACGTAGAGTAACCCTCAACATCGAACAAGTGATCCCGACACAACTGGAAGAAGTAGAACGCATCCAGCGATAGCGCTGCGAACCCAGTAGAGGGAGCACAGGAGCCGCGTGGTGATGACAAGACCCTGAGAGAAGGCATTAACATGAGGTAGTGCACGGTATCGCGCCGTCAACATCGCACTACTGCAGTGGGCCTGGCGTGAAAGATATCGAGTGATATATACATGTACTCCGACACTTCGAAGGCTCGTGCACGAAAAGCCTTTTTTTTCGAGGGAACGACAGCACGATAACGAAGATGTCATCTCGGTTGGAGAAACGCGTCTTGCAGGGGAACATTGGCTTTCAATGCGTGGACTTGCACACAGCTTCATTGCTCGCACTGTTACTTCTCCCATGGGCACAGTAGGGCACTGGGTATAGTCAACGCCACTCACGATATTGACCCACACAACATCTCTGTGGATAGCCAGCCGACGAGGTCATGCTGCATGCGTGTGGTGAGTGGAGATTTAGTAACAGGCGCCGGTGGCTAACCCTGCACTGGCATCATTGAAGCATTGCCTGTGTGCGAGGTCACCCAAGCTTGAGTGATAGAGCTTTTAGATCCCCAATACCAAGCCTCGAGTTTCGAATCTACGATTCGACATCTTTTAAAAATTCTTTGGAATACGATGTGATACTTACCGCCTCAGCAGGCATCAGCTACTTGCTGTATGCGGGATCAGGGGTTCTCTCGGGGTGGCTCGAGTCCACTGACATGTGGCCACTCCAACCATCACCGCTAATTTGCTTCAAAATGGGTACCGTATGTCTCACTTGGAACGTTTGGGCGCTACGGGTTCCATCGCAGTACTAATCTCCCACAAGTGGACCACCAATGGTTTGTGCCTTGTCTCCTGCGGGCGAGCTCGGCGGACCGAGAGAGTCGACACTTGACCCTTCTGCGCATCTCACTTTTTCAATCTGGCCTGACTTAACGGAGGATGAGAGTCGTACACTCTCCCAGTCTCCTTGTTTTTCTCGAGAATTCATTGGGAGTACATCAAGTCATACCTCATCGGAGACCTTCAGTCCATAACAATTCACTGCCGTGGTTACCGGCGAAACATGGCTCCTACCTGCGAGCATGAAGGCACCTATGCTGTCCTTACAATTTCTATGTTGGCGCTGGTTAGGACGCGATCGCTTTGCGCTGATGGGAATGTACAGCTGGAAGTGGGAGTTTCGCGTGGCTCGCTCCTTCGGAAGATGCATACTCAGGTCGGATGTTAACTTGGATTGCCTACTGCATACCATCCCTGCGGCCCTGGTTTGGCGGATATCACAACGTTCGCCTACTTTGAAATTGTTCAGTTCCGGGCTCCACGATGCCCCGGGTGCTTTGCACATCTCGTTCACCGACGAATGCCCGGTTGAACTGAATCTTGTTTATAATTGCGTCCCTGATTTCTACGAATATGCAGAACCACGCCCTGATGTTACGCCGCTCGACACTGATCCTCATGTAGTCTCCACATCGGAGAAGTTAAAGGAAAGTCAGGGCTGGAATACAATCTTGGCACAGCGTGTAGGGCACGAGGCTGGAGTGCCAGTTCCATACCTCAGGTGAGATGGAAGATTGGCTGCCTGTTTTACTTCCGCACTCATCTGCATGCTGTTCTACATAGGAGGGAGGATTAGTCATATTGCCCTGACTGCAATCAGCACGACTTGCTGGTATTATACTCTGAACTAAACCGCGAGCCCCGGAGGCATGTACATAGACGTCAGGATTACTTCTTGGCAGTGGTGAGCTGCGGGAGGGCGTTTTAAGTCATTGCATAGCCGGCTTTGCGCAGAGAGGCTGTGGCCACGGCGCAGTTGACACCACTCCGACCATGGAGGCTTCCTTATGCGTACGTACTATCGCTTCAGTCTTGAGTACGGTGTTGACTAGGCTGTGTTTGTCCGGTGCCGTGCATTGCATCACTGGCTCCACCAGATGAACACAATTTCTTATACAAGCACCGTCCGACAAGCAGTTTGAAAGATTGCCGCAACATGCGTCTCGCCTTCAGTACGAACTGACTACCTTAACACCGTCATCCGCGACCAACGTGGCCATCAACTCTATAGCATATCGAGCCCCGGACTCTTCCATTCCAAGACAACCATAACCAAGCATGGTCCCCACAATGATGGTGGTGATGTGATAGCCATCATCACATGGCACACGTTCAGAAACCCGAAGATCTGGCTCAAAGCGACTGGTATGGAGGTGTCAGGGAGTTCTTTGCTGAAAACGAAGTGGTTCTCGTCGTACGTTCCTTTGACAGTGCAGAGCGGGACGGGAATGACAGTTGGGACAGGAGTCGCATCTTTACTGGGCCAGATGGTAAAACGTACAGGTGGAGCCTTCGGAGCACGAATTGTACGGTATGTTACGAGTCTGAGGCTCTTCGTCTCCGGTGATTCTGATTTCTGTCTGCAGCTCAAGGAAGAAGGGTCTGACCTCGAACTCGCCAAGTATCACCGACGAAACCTTGGCATTATGTCGCCGTCGCATGCACCGTATCTGGAAGTGTCGCCTTCTGTATCCCACATGCTGGATTACGTCGTTATTACATTTGTTTATGCAGAGAAGCTGAGTCAGGATAAGAAGAGGGCCGCTGCGAGTGCTAGTTCTAGTGCCCCATCTGGTTGTTGATTGTCAGAGCACGCAGAGAGTACTTGTGACCAATGGCATAATTAATTACATAATTGTATTGGTTAAGTACATAGCCAACAGGCGCAGTCGCCGACTCAAAGTCGACCGCGATATTATCGTCTTGATTGCCGTCGAGCTCGACGGCGCTCTGAATTGTCGAGCCTTGCTTCTTCCTTTCTCTCGTCTCTTCGAATTGAAACTGACCCTAATTCTGTTCTTCATTAGTCTATTGGTGTAAATCTACCCAAATCTTTGTGGGATGTCGCAGTGGGGCCAACCTGGATTCCAGTACCCTATGCAAACGGGTTATCCTGGCGTTCAACAGCAACAACAGCAGCAGCAATTCCAGCCAGGTCAACAACCAAACCAACATGCTCTGTTTCAGCAATCTCCAGCAAATTTTGGTGGCCAGCCCGGCGCTGTCCCATCGATGGGTGCAGGGTTTGGCGGGATTGCATCTCAGCCCACTGGATATCCCGGAGCGCGCCCACCAGCGTTCCTTCAGCCTCAGCAAACCGCATTTCATGGTGGGCCTGGTGGGCTTCTGCAAGCTCAGCCGACGGGGTTCCCAGGTGCGCAGACGGGTTTTGGTCAGCGGCCTCCACCGCCTCCCGTTCCTTCTATTCCCAGTCAATTCCAACAGAACTATCCTCCGCCTCCACCACCTCCTGCGCCCCAACAGCAGCAGTCCTCATTTCTCAATCCCGCGCAGAACAGGTTTGGAGGACCGAGCCTTGGCCCTCAGCCAACAGGACTCGTTCCACAACCCACCGGCTTCGCAGGGCGCGCACCAGCACCTCTTATGCCACAGATGACTGGTTTCGTGGATCCCAGATTGCAAATGATGTCCAGTTCGTTCATGCCTGCCAACTTGTCTGCGCCATATGCTGCAGGCGGTGCGCCGCAACTTCAGCCCGCTCCTCAACAGCAATTCGGCGGTTTGTCGTTGCAACAAAGTTTCCAGCAGCATAACCAGCAGCACGGAAGGGGGACTACGCCAAAAGTACCATGGGCACTGAGTAAGGCGGAGAAGAAGAGTTACGATCAGATCTTCAGAGCATGGGATGCGCAGGGCACTGGCTTCATCAGCGGGCAGACGGCGTTGGAAGTGTTTGGACAGAGTGGTCTCGACAGGAATGATCTGGCGAAAATTTGGTAAGTTATCGATGTCTGTGGGTACGAGTTGATATTCGCAGACACTGATGGAATGGGCGGGTAATAGGTCCCTCGCTGATGCTGATAATCGAGGCAAGCTGAACCTCGCTGAGTTCCATGTAGCAATGGGTATCATTTATCGCAGTAAGTTCCTACGAGTAAATAATCTCTTTGATCCGTAACTTATAAATTTAAACAGGACTCAATGGATCAGAAATCCCGGACGAGCTCCCTCCAGAACTTGTGCCCCCATCTTCTAGAGATCTCGACACATCTGTCAATTTCCTTAAAGATATCTTAAAAAACGATACTCGTGCTAGATCCCCATCTGCTCTCGATACACCAGTTTCTCGACTTAAAGAACGCTCTTTCACCTCATCTTCAACAACGCTGACGCAACAAGGTGGCCGTCAAGATGCTACGGTGTACCGACATGAAGATGTCCCGCCTCCCGGTGGGTTCTACCAGTCATCTGTTCGACACATCGATCGCAACGCTGTCCGGTCGCAATCAGACGAAGCCAACCCAGCTTCGTCGGATATCGCTTCATTAAAGCGCCAGCTTCTTAATACACAAAAGATGCTCGACGACAACCTTTCTTCGGAACGTGAATCGGATCAACTTGATCGGGACCTTGAGGATTTGCGCTACCGTATTAAGCGCCTTCAGGAGGATCTCGAGTATGTATCTCGCGGGACCCGGACAACGACAAAGGACGAGGAAAGAAGGAGGATTGAGAGGGAGCTTATGAGGCTTATGCATGAAGATGTTCCTGAGCTCGAGAGGAAAGTTGAGGAACGTGAGGCAAGGAGAGAGAGGGAAAAGAGGAAGTGGGCGAACGAGAGGGACAAGCGGAATGAGAGGTTTGGACGTTTTCGCAGGGGAGGAAGGCAGTCGGTATAGTCCCTGCCCCTGAGTCCAGGTACGGTACCGAGGACGATCGACCATATTCGAGGAGTGGGTCGAGGCACGAGAGGGACGAAAGGGACTATTATGACCGTGACGGGAAGAAATCGTATAGGTCTGAGGAGAGCGATCGGCAACTCGACCGAGAGAGCACCGTCGACACCAGGTCTGCGAGACGTTCTCCGCCGACTGCGACCCCTGGTGTTCCTTCGGCCTCCAGAGTCAGTTCTCCGCCAAGAGCGGCACCAGCACCGTCCCGGTCGCCTGCACCCCAACTTAAGAATATGACGCCTGAGCAACGAAAGGCATATATTCAAGCGCAGGCCAAACGACGTCTGGAAGAGCGCATGCAGGCACTGGGGGTTTCATCACCAGCACCCACATCGGCAGTTTCCCCAACCCTCGATTCGTCTGTAGAAGATCGCCTTGAAAGGGAGAAACGAGAAGCAGAGGAGAAGGCAAGAGAGGCTGAGCGCCAGGCTGAGGAACGAGAACAGGTACGAAAGCAGAAATTGGAAGCCGAACGAGCCATCAAAGAGGGAAAGGGTTCGACTCCTACGCCAACACCAACGACCACAGCGCCTGCTCCCTCGCCTGGTCCAGTGCCAGTTTCGACACCGACGGCGCCAGTGTCCAGGCCGACTCCTACTCCAACCACGCCTGTAGCGAAAGCTGCTCCACCAGTGCCTAAGCCTCGTGCGCCTGCTCCACCACGACCTAGAAAGGGTACTGTACCCCGGACGCCTGCTGCCGTTGCCGCGCCTGCACTACCGGTTCAAGCATCTGTTCCAGCACCAGCACCAGCACCTCCAGCATCCGCAGAACCTGAAGAAGATCCAGAGGATGTGGCTTTGAGAGCGCGCGAAGCAGCTCTGCGCAAGAAGCGCGAGGAACGTGAAGCTCTCCTGCGCAAACTCGAAGAGGAAGAAAAGATGAACGAGGAGGCATACCAGCAAAGGAGGAATCAGTTCTTAGCTGCCAAAGCTGCTGCTAGTCCTGCTGTCAGCGCTGTGTCTAGTACGCAAAATTCACCCGTCCCCGCGCCACCTGCGCCTCCTGAACCACCCGCGCCGCGCGTGCACACTCCACCGGCAGTTGTTTCCGTCCAGCCGACGCCCGAAGTGGAAGCTGAGGAAGCTGCATTCTCGCCACCGCCACCACCCCCGCCACCCCCTGCACCTCCAGCTTCGACCCCCGCTGCCGCTGCTGACAAACCGAGCAACAATCCTTTCAATCGTTTGAAGAAGGACGCAAACGCACCTACTCCGGAGACCACGCCTTCGCCAGCTAATGTGGGCAATAGTAACCCGTTCTTCCGTTCGCAAACGGCACCTCCACCCTCTGTGCCCACTCCCCCGAAAAGTCCGGGCGTTCCGCCGCCGGTCAAGACCACGTATCATACCGTACCCTCCGGCAGTGACGATGACTGGGATGAAGTGGTCGAGAAAGAGGATGATGATAGTAGTGATGAGGAACTCGCCACACGAGATACGCGTGTGGGACTTGCACAGCAGCTATTTGGGAGCTTGTTGCCTGCGAGGCCTCAATCCGCTGGACCTGCACCACAATCGATCGGGAGTCCAGCATCACCTACGTTCCCTCCACCGGCTGCTCCACCCGCCCCTGCAGCACCCCCTCCTCCCCCAGCGCCTGCTGTACCAGCACCGTCAAAGTCGCCTGCTCCAGTAACCCCTGCTGCAGCTCCTGGCGACCGAAGTGCTCTCCTGAGTGCTATTCAAGGAGGTGCTGTCTTGCGGAAAACAGTGACAAATGATCGAAGCGCCGCTGCCACGGCTGGAAGGATCATCGGGGACAATACACCCCCTGCACATATTAACGCCACTCCTCGACCCCCGTCTCCATCGTCCCCACCAGCACTCCCCGTCACCGAAGTCTCGGAACCACCGCAGGTTGAACCAACTCCGTCGTCAAAGCATCGGCCCAAGGAATCGGTGGACTGGTATAATGGGTTGGCTGCTGATCATGCGGGCCAGGCCACGTTGGACCGTTTACCCGAGACCATAGAAGAAGAAGAATACGCCGGAGATGTACCTGCCATCAGAGTTTCGGAACATGTGCCAGATGGAAGTTCTGATCCCATGGCAGATGTTGATGAATCGACAAGTGAGTGTGTATGCGCTACAGGTCATTTATCGTCCTAAATGTGTCACAGGTCTCAGGGTACGCTCGTTGTATGCTTACGAGGCTCAGAGGTCAGAAGATCTGAGTATGTAGTTTCCCTGAAACCCAAATGGCTGTGCTGATGCCTTGGTTCAAGGCTTTGGTGAAAACATCGTAATCGAGGCACATCCCTCCAAGTCTGGCGGTGACTGGTGGTACGGCACGACCGCCAATGATGGTAGATCGGGTTTCTTCCCACAGACATATGTGCAAGTACTCGAACCAGGTGCGCACCGATTTTACTTTCATGGACTTCTGCAGTTACACGGCTTTTTAGTTCAAGCTACTGCCCTTTACACATACGAAGGCTCGGGTCCCGATGAGCTATCGTTTAATGAGGGTGACGTTCTTAGCATCGTCGACCGGGTAGAATCCGATTGGTGGAGAGCCGAACGGGATGGTGTCGTCTACGCCGTCCCAGCAGCGTACATGGTGGTTGCAGAGGGTTAGTTGCATTTTGTTAGCACAAAATAATCCCTTAAGTTCTTCTTACCTTCTCGTTCGCTGGGATGGATATAGGCTGAAATATTTCTTTTTCTCTCTCTTGATTCTCGCATGTTCCTTGCTTCGTACCTTGTACTCCGTGCCATCGACCTTATCCTGTTCTTTCCGGAATTCCAAAATACCAATTTCAATACCGATCGAAATTCCACGTTCTTGACATGCGGACCGCTCTTGTTGCGGCTATGATTGGTGCGGTTATGCAGTTCAACTCAGCGGCAGATACGGTATTAGCGAAGGGCGTGACTTGCAGCCGGACGGCGACGAGAAGCAACGCGTTGACAGCACCGATCCTGATCGTGAGATGTTGAGCAATGATGGTTATGGCACTCCTTGCAGCTCACCGGTGAAGACGCGCAAATTGGATCGTATGCCAGAGATTACGGGCATTGATGACGATGAAGACGACGACAACGACGATTACTACTCTCTAGATGACGACAGTGTGTCTGACGTCTCTGAGGCTTCCGACGTGGATGCAACACAGACTTTTGTGGACCAGGAGAAGCAAGAGATGGAACGCCGGCGTGTACTGGAAGCTGCCGGAGTTATCGTCAGTAACCTCAAAGACCACAATCGTTCGATGAGCCATCCGCGGCATGCCAATAGGCATGGAGTAGGTGTCGATGGCGCGACGGGACTAGGGGGTTCAGAGGGTGAGAGGGGCTTCTCGATAGGGGCTGCCTTCCAACGGAAACGACATGAATCTCTACCTCCTGCACATGAACCTCTGTCTTGTGCGAGGCATAAGGAGCTTCCTCCGGTCCCCATGATGGAATTCTCAGAGGATCCGGATGCAACCAGTCGCACAGGTATTAACGCCAGGCTCTCACCTATGTGTGAAATACTCAGTACGTCCGTTCAACCCACACACCTCAAGACGACCTCGGACTCGAGTAGTACATCGCGCGTCGACGATGCATTCGAGCGTTACGAAACGTATAAGAAGCTGCATGGCGGACAATCATTAGCCACTAACCGGTTGTCAGCTTCCTCGTTCGACACAGCCTCTTCGCTTCGCATTTTCATCACCTCCTCGTTCACCTGCAGTGTCTCTGTCGCCTTCGCTGCGAGATCGAGAACAAGAACGAGGTGGAGAGAGTCGTACGTCTTATTTGCTGAGTTTTCTTGGACGTCACACGCGTTCTACTACGCCGGACATCGATCGCGAGCGCAAGATTCCAATTATATCTGGCCCCATTCACACCTCGGCATCTAATTCAGTAGAACCACATAACTCCACGACACGCGATAACAGCCCAGCATTTGGGACGTCATGGGCAAGCCTCGTCGACCGGACTGCGCTCGAAGAAATACCAGCTGTGGAAAGGAAACGACAGGAAGCAATATTCGAACTTATCTCGACGGAAGCGGACTATGTGAGAGATCTCCAACTCATCGTGGAGGTAAGTATGTACCAAATAAAGTTCTACCCGATTGATTGACTTTGACATTGGAAGCTCTTCTATTCGCGTCTGGTGGATATCCTTGGAGAGGATTCGACGTCGGTCATATTTTCCAACATCGAAGATATCCTTCTGACGAACACAGTGCGTTCATTTGGATATGATTGACTCTTAGCTCACCCGTCTTCCAGGCATTCCTGTCTACTCTGGAGGAGCGACAGCGTGAATGCCGACTCTACGTAGACCATGTGGGAGACTTGTTAGAGAACCCATATGCCTCACATGCGAGTGTATCTGGTTCGTTGTGTTGTCAGCTGACTGGGCAAGCTCGTTGACCGTTTGATCACAGGACTACTGTGTCAACCAAGCCAATGCTGGGAAAGTGTTGCAATCGCTTAGGGATACCAACCCAGGATTGTCTGTTCAGCTGCAGGTTCAGTCATTTAATTCTTGCTCATCTGCCCTTTCCTGATGGTCAATCCTTCATAGTGCCTCCGGGAGGACCCCTTGGCCAGGAATCTCGACTTGTCCAGTTACCTTCTAGTACCCAGTGCGTCCAATCACCTCCTCGTAGAAACACGACCCATTAACGACTACTTCTTCTCAGTGCAGCGTCTGACCCGATATCCTCTTCTCATCCGACAAATTTTGCAATACACTGACCCACCTGCGCCTTCACTCGATCCATCTTCGGCACCGCGCTTGACGTTGTCTCTTCCCACGGAGCACGCGGAACGCGAGTCGATAGCGAATGCTCTGGGGCGTGCGGAGCAAATATTAGAAGAGGTGAATGAGACAATGAGGGATCGGGAGAGCCGGGCGAGGCTTGGCGAGGTGAGCAGAGAGCTAAGGATAGGCAAGGAGTGAGTATCATGCCTTCTCGTTCTGTTTAATTTCGCTACCGATAACATGAGATTTCGCTGATATCCTTTTTTCCTCTTCCCCCCCTGTACAGTCGTCTGGACCTCACGCTTCCGACTCACCACCTAGGTCCTCGAAAACTCCTCAAAGAGGGTGTACTGACGAAAGCAAAAAGCGGGCGTAAGCTGCGCGTAATACTTTGTAGCGATATCCTCTTACTCCTCAACGAGTCCGGCGGTGGAGGGTTATACCGCGTGGCAAGTCCCCTACTTCATAAATATCCCTTGGTTGTATTGACCTGTCATCACTGCTAGCCCCTCCCCGTTCACGAACTCGAAATCTACACCTGCACGAAACCGCGCACGTTCCGACGATGCCTACATACGCATCCATCGTGCCTACCCTCGGGGTGGAGAGACCCTCGTACTACGTGCTCCAAACGTCCGCGAAGCACGTGCGTGGACAGGAGCAATCGCACAGGCGGCTGCGAAGGCGAGGGAGGGGATCAGGGTGGCTGTCAGTGGTTCGCGGGGCACGGAGGTAGGGCTCGGACCTGCCATTGTTGGTGTGGGGATGGGACATGTTGCAGGCGCGGGGACTCCTCGCGGGAGCGCGGATGTTGGCAATGGAAATATCTGCGTGACCACTGGTAAATGATCTACTCGGACCTGGGATTTTAGGGGATATACGGACTTGCCGTCCATCGAACAGGCTGTTATCTCGTGCCGGCACTTTTAAATTGGACAGACTTGGCCCTATTTTTATTTTTGGGTTTCACCTACTACAAATATTTCGGACTTCTAGGATTTCGGTGCGTTAGTTTGAGTACCTCCATCCATCTCTGTACGCTGCTTTAAGTGGTATCTTTGTCGACGCAACGGCTAGCACCCTGCTTCTTCGGAGAGGATTCCTTCGGCGTGGAGTCATCGAAAAAAAAGAATTCGTCCTCGGCAGATAATGACCCCTTCCGTTTCACACACTCTTTCCGCTAGTGGACTTGTCCTGAGGTATTGCGGAATAGAATAGAAGAGAAGGGGAAGGGAGATTAAATCTTTGTGGAGGCGAGAACATTTCTGAGGCACAAGCAAAGTGTAAATCTGCCGGGCACGTATACCACGGCATGGTGTATCGCATCTATGTGTGACGACTAGTGCTGTCAGTATGGAAGCCTTCTTCGACCAACGCCTGAACAACGCCCCGCTGCCCGCGAATGAGTCGGATAAGCGTCTCTATACCAAGTGGCACGCCCAGGTCAGGTCCTTGTCCAGGAGTGAGTCGTGTGTATGCTAATGAGAGTCTGAACAGACGTCCTATCCGGGAGATGTTCTGGCTTGACTGCTTTACCATATTTCCTGGGAGTAAGAACGTTTGAGTGAGCACTCAGTTCCTGGACATCAACAAGGGGGTATACCTGGAAGCCCGTAGGACGTATGGCAGTGCTGAGACTGGTCGTGTTCGCAGAAGTGCGAATCATACGCTCCTTTTTCGCTGGGGAAGCGTCCTCATTATAGAGTACGGTTCTCAATTTGACATCGGGAATGCATGGTATGTGGAACCCATACGTGAGATTCTCGAGGACGATCGTGGTTGTTGTTCCGTTGGGTGATCCGATGGCGGGCACCTTATCAACAAGGTGGTTTCCGAGCGACAGCAGCCCTAGGAATTTTGGGATCCATGGTGGTAACGGTTTCAATCCCGACGCAACCGCTATCGTGGCGGCGATGTCTGGCGATAAGCCATCGCGAACGAACTCCAGCTCCCTAGAAAAGACTGGCTTGAAGAGTAACGAGCCATCCTCTGTTGTCTGTACTCCTGCGTGTCCGCCGACCTGTGATGAAAGCGGCGCGGTTGGTGGAAGGGTGGACGACCGATGGGGGGTATCACGAGGCGACGATGATCTTGACGTTGGCATCGTCAATGGACGAGATCGAAATCAGAAAACAAGCCAAGAAGGCTGACAAGCCTGAAATCGAAGCTGTCGAATTCGATCCTCGTGGTCACCTTGTGAATAGCTGGACTGACGTCGAACGTCCTCACCACTGGCGTTACTGTAGTGGTAGCGAAACGAAAACCTTGTCTTCGAGGAGTAATATGTGAAATGCACGAGCCAATTCTTAGCTACAATTGAATTTATTGCTGAACCGAACTTGATCAACGCACTGGGGCCTTCGTCCACGAGTTATGATCTGATTCTGCGAGGTACTACAGCACCCACTACATAGCGAAAGCGTTCGTAGACTGGGCATTGATGTTGAGTCTCTTCAACGCGAGCATGAAGGAGTCAATTTTCTTGTTCCCTATAAAAGATAGCGTGACTGCGAATGTATCTGGCTCGTGCGCCAGGCCCCCAGCAGTGCCACCTGGAACGTGTCCACAGCATGTCGGCGCTAAAGCGCTCAGCTGCAATACTTCAGTCAGAAACTACTTGATTTACACCCCTCAACCTCGACTCCAACCTACAAACCTTACACAAACTACGAATTTCTCAATGGCTCGCACGCAGTCGAAGAAACATCGGTTTTTTTTAGCTCCGGAAGACCCAGTTCGACTCCACCTAACATTCCTTCGGTACACATTTTATACCTTGCACGCGATGGTATTTATTGACCTCTGCCCGAACAGTCACAAGGGGCGTCTTGCCCCTCTGCAGACCCGCCTTCGATCGCTGGACCATCGGCAGATACCCCTTGAGAGCTGTTCTCCAGGATGGGCCACCTCTTCCATCGGTCGAGCCAGACTCGATCAGAGCCTCCCGCTATAGAGACAACCGACACCAGAATTGGCAGCCAAGTCAATGGTGCACAACAGGCAATAGTTGAGATGAAGCCCATTCCCCAGGCATTGCAAACAGCTGTTGGTCTTATCGGGCAGGCCGATACTGCGATGACGACGATTCAAAGTATCGAGGCGATTCTCCAGTCTCTCAAAGTGTTCAACTCCTTTGTTACCACTCTATCGAATGTACTGCCTTTGAGCTTCTGTCGCCTGCATGCTCTGATGTAAGCGCACAGGTCCACCCTTATGTCCAGTTTGTACTAGGGATTCTCACCGCTGCTTCTCAAGTACTTCCCCCTTCCCTCTTATGAATCTCTCGCTTATATAGTTCTCATTAGTTGCTCATCAACCAAGCAAACCTGGACAACGAAGTGTTCGGCCTCCTCAATACCGTTAAGGATCTCTACGAATTTCTTATGGAAAAGGATACCATTGAGAATATGGAAAGCATGAAAGAGACGTTACGGAAGATTTCACAGGAGATGAGTGCCGCAGCGCTGTTCGTCGTAAAATATTGCAAAAAGAAGAACATCTGTAGGTCCTATGTTCATGGTCCTCTGATCCGCTTCAGTGTGCTGACGCGATACGTTGTCAGTGGTAAGAATCGGAGACAGCTTTGTTTCCGACCCGCAGACCGTCGCCCGTGGCCACATCAAGAATCTGGGTGACCTGATGCAACAATATCGGGATCGCGCGATACGGGACATCCAGATCAACATGTACCGCGTTCTTGAAGACCTGAGCCTCGAAGGCATGGCTTGCGCCACGGGCGCAGGCCTGAATACGACCAAGAAATGCCTCGACGGTACCAGAACAGACATTTTGAAGGACATCACTGACTGGATTACCACATGTGACATCAATACCCCTCGTATCTCGCGGCTCCACGGGCAGGCCGGAAGAGGAAAGTCTGCCATTGCCCATACAATCGCATCATGGATCGAGGATGTGGGAGCTCCTGGTGCCTGTTTCTGCTTCGCTCGTGACAGGCAGGCTGAGCGACGGGAGGAAAAGATTCTGACTACTATCGCGCGTGATCTGGCAGATCGTGATGCGGCATTTCGACGCGCACTGTCGAATGTGGTGTCAAATAACCACGCACTCAAGACGACATGCGATGTGGTACAGCAGTGGAAACGATTCATCTTGGAGCCACTATCGAAGATTAATGGCGAGATAGTTGGGAATGTGGTCGTGATAATCGATGCGTTGGATGAAAGTGGGCCGGAGAAATCGAGGAAGGATATCCTGAGCCTGCTGAAATCGTCAGAAGCTGCGCATCTGCCAGCGAATTTCCGGATCCTTTTGACGTCCAGACCATTGGCGGACATCGCACGTGTTATGAGGGACGTTCCACATGTGAAGGCAATCTCATTGGACGACATTCGTCAGGAGTTGGTGGAACATGACATCCGGCTATATGTTTCGAGGGAACTGGACGGTCTTCCCACCATTGAAGCAACAGAAATCCAGAATGTCGTCAAAAAATCCAGTGGTCTGTTCGAGTGAGCTCGTCTGGCTTGTGAGTTCATCAGGCCAGGTAGAGTTGGAGAAACTTGGAAAGAACGCTACGAGGATCTGATGGCGCTCGAGTCGGAAGAAGGAAGAACGCTCCTCTGGGAAAGGCCTGGAACGATATCGCTCCGTGATGCGGCAAGTCGTGATGACGCTTGAACCTCTTCCTATGGCGGCCTTGAATTTGATGCGTAAAAAATTCCCAAACAAGCAGGACCACTATGACATTTTTCTCATCCTCGAGTTCATGTCTCCAGTGTTGGGTGGCATTGTGGACCGTGTCTCCGCTGTGCGGCCGCTTCATGCATCTTTCTATGACTTCCTGATGGATCGTTCACGGAGTGGTGTCTATTTCATTGACACATCTGACGGAAAAGACCTGGCCTTTGCCACATTGCAGATTCTCCGTGATGAGCGTCAATTCAACATCTGTGAATTAGAAAGCTCCTATCTTGCCAATGCTGAAGTTCCTGGTCTGTCGAAGAAAGTTGAGGAGAAGATTCCACATGGTCTATCCTACTCCAGTCGATTCTGGGCCCTGCATCTGTGGAAGATGGCATTTGACTTGGAACTTGCAGGGTTGGTGAAGGCTGTTGTTGGAAGTGAAAAGATTCTGTTCTGGCTGGAGGTATTAAGTCTTCTGGGGATGGCTGGAAAGGGTGTGGATGCTCTTGGTACTGTTGCAACATGGCTATGGGTGAGTACTTGTTGTATGGTGTTTGATGACATCTGACACAACAATGAAGGGACAAGATGGCTTCAAGGATGTATTGGCATTGGTAGAAGATGGAATCAAGTTGATTCGGAATTTTGGCAGTGTGATAGTGCATAGCACTCCACACCTGTATGCTTCTGCATTGCCATTTATTCCTTCCAATGCATTGCTATCAATGATGCTCTTGCCAGAATTCTCAAGGCTGGCTAGAGTTGCTATAGGGGGTTTGAAAGGGTGGCCAGTTGAACAGCAGCTACTACAAGGCCATGCATATGAAGTCATCTCAGTTGCATTCTCCCCTGATGGGAAGAGGATTGTCTCAGGCTCTTGGGACAACACTGTGAGGGTCTGGGATGTTGAGGGAGGTGTGCAGATTGGCAGCCCTCTTGAGGGCCATACAGATGGAGTCTTTTCAGTTGCATTCTCCCCTGATGTGAAGAGAATTGCCTCAGGCTCTTGGGACAATACTGTGAGGGTCTGGGAGAATGCAATGTTCACAATGGTTGCATCCCACCCCTCTGGCATACTTCATCCATTCCCTCCTGCAGATGGTATGTACCTCCACCTTCTATTTGTTCTTATTTCATTTAACAAGAAGTACAGGTGTCATGGGATATCCCATTTGCTTTTCATTTGACCCTTCACATGCTCTGCTTAATAGTAATCTACTTGTTGATGGGTTCATGCAACAGAATGCTGTGCTGGGTGCATCAGTCAAGCTGCATGATGATGGCTGGATCAAAGGCCCAAAGGAACAACTACTACTTTGGATCCCCCCAACACTTAGTAGACCATTTCACTCAATGGGGACCAAAGCAGTCATTCCCAGAGGCTGTTCCATAGAGTTGGATTTAAGTCAGATGGTTCATGGCAAAGAATGGTGCAAATGTTTCCATTCCACCCAGTGAATGATGGTTCAAAATGTATTTAGATGTTGGGTATATCTGCTGTCATACTGTCATAAATTAGTTCATACCCATACTTTTGTCCAATAATCATTTTACCCTGCTAATTGCACACATGTCCTCTGATGTCATAGATGCAGTAGCGGCTCTACATCACTCACCGTCTTCTTCCCTATTCCCCTCACCTGTGGCTTCCTGATTCCCATCAATATTCCGCTTCGTGCTACGCCGCATAGGTGAATATACGGTTTTCACGTGCTCTCGTTCGAGGTGCCGCGTTGGTATTGAATTCGAGTTCACATTTGTGCTATTACGCGACTTAGAAGTGGTTGATTCCGAGTCCGAGTCGGCGATGGAGATCATGATGTCAGCCACTTCAAGTTCCTCCTGTTCGTCATCCTCGATGTCGTCGGACGAGACCTGGGGAAGCTGTTGCGGTGGGAAAGACGACGAAGGCATACCGGAATGGGGTTGAGTGGGTATATGCGTAGGTGCCGGTATGGGAGAGATAACTGTCTCGTGTAGTGCTGTCATAGCCAGGTTGGTAGCTTCTGGAGTTAGAGCATTGATTCTATGTACGGGCAGAATCTCATCGACAGGTCTCGCAGTAGGAAGGCTGGTAACTTCGGGAGTTGGGGAGTTCTTTTTGGGTGTCGACAGGGGTTTGTCGGAAGTGACGGGAAAGGTAGCTTTGGGGAAGCTGTAGGCGAAAAGGGGATCGGCACACAGTGTGAAAAAAGGAGCACGAATAAAATGTGGCACACCTGGGGAGTTGTGCAATACTTCCATCACCGCTGCTAAGCATATCCTGGCTCTCATAATCCTTGGTATGGTGTCTGCACTGTCGCGTATGCGTGCAATCTGGATCTGAGCCTGGCGTGTAGAATGTGGTTTGGTTGATTGGATCTGGGTATCGAGGTCTAATTTTCTTGTGTACTCGGTCAGTATCGACGGCTGCAATGGCAGGCCTCCTGCTCTTAGTAGCACGTACAGGTCGTAGATATTCTGCAAGAGCATTTTCTCTGCGTTGCGGTCAGGTTCAGGTTCTGAAGATTGGCGCGTCATCTTACGAACAGCGCATGCGTTGCTTCTAGTGTGGAGGCTTTCGCTTTGGATGGGGGTCGTAGGAGGGACGACAGGTTGTTGATCATGGCCTCGAAGTTGCAACGGGTGCTGGACTACTGTAGGGTACTTGGTTAGTGTACAATTGCGTCGTAAAAGATCCCACCCTGCATGAACGTGGACCGGTGGACTGTCCGCGGATGCAACGCTTGCAACGAGTCTCTCAGGAGCAGGTCAATCTCCACGTCGTCCTCGAAGTTATCGGAAGGCTTCACGTTGTTCGATCTCTGGCGTGAGATTCCATTCCAACTCACACCTCGGCGTCTTGTCCCTGGAAAACCACACACCTCGACAACACACGAGAGGCGTTTGGCGTTTGGAATGCCATCATGGGGCTCGTCTGGTCAACGGGGCTGCGTTCCAAGGGATACCAGCAGTAGAAAGGAAACGACAGGAAGCGATATTCAAACTCATCTCAACGGAGATGGACTATGTGAAAGATCTGCAAAGGTAAGTCTAGATTCTACCTCAATCGTCGACTTTGACGTTGACATTGAGGGCTCTTCTACTCGAGTCTGATGGATATGCTCGGCGAAGATTCGACTTCGGTCATATTTCCAAATATCGCAGATATCCTTACGAACACGGTGCGTTCTTTGGACATGACTGACTCCCAACTCACCCCACCTCTTCCAGGCATTCCTGTTTATTCTGGAGGAGCGGCAGCGTGAACTCGGACTCTATGTAGACCGAGTAGGAAACCTGTTAGAAACACACTTGCCTCGATGCGAGTGTATCTGTTTCGTGCCAGATGACAAGGCGAGCGCGTTGACTGACATCAAGCCAATGCTGGGAAAGTGTTGCAATCGCTCAGGGATACCAACCAAGAGTTGGCCGCTCAACTACGGGTACGGTCATTTGTTTCTTGCTACTCTGCCTGTCCCTAACCGCTAGTCGTTCCTAGTGCCTCTGGGAGAACCCTCGGCCAGGAATCTCTACTTATCTAGTTACCTTCTGGCACCAAGTACGTTCATTTATCTTCCCGTGGACAAACGATTTGCTGACGATGACTGATTCATAGTGCAGTGCCTAACTCGGTATCATCTGCTCATCCGACAAGTTCTGCAATATTCTGACCCACCTGCACCAACGCCCGACCTGTCTTCGGCACTGCAATTGACGTCGTCTCTTCCCACAGCACATGCGGAACGGGTGTCAATAGGGCACAAGCTGGCGTGCGCGGTGCATATATTGGAAGAGGTGAATGAGACGATACGAGATCAGGAGAGTCGGGCGGGGTTTGGTGAGGTGAGCAACCAGCTAAGGATAGGCAAGGAGCAATAAGTATCGTGTTTTCTCGTTCCTTTTAGTTCCATCACAGACGACATGAGATATCCTGACATCTCCCCTGTGTTTTCCCCTGTTCAGTCGTCTTGAGCTTCCACTTCCGATTCACTATCTCGCTCCCTGAAAACTCCTCAAAGAAGAAGGCACACCGACGACAGCAAAGTGAGAGCGTATGCTACGGGTACTATGGAGTGATTTTTTTCTTACTCCTCAACGAGAGCGGTGGTGGAGGGTTATACAGCGTGGCAAGTCCACCATTTCATTACCACCCCGTTTGCCTGACATGGCCCCTAGCCTCTCCCCATTCACGAACTCGAAATCCATCCATCACGCAACCACAGGCTCTAACGATGCACACATCCGCGTTCGCCGTGCCTATCCACGGTGCAGGGATATCCTGGTACTACGTGCTTCGAACGTCAGCGATGCACGTGCATGGACAGAAGCAATCGCACAGGCGGTTGCGAAGGCAAGGGAGGGTATCGTGGTGGTTGTCGGTGATTCGAGGTGAGTTCGAACCTGCCATTGTTGGTGTGGGTGATGGGACGCGTTCCGGGTGCGTGGACACGTCGAGTACGTGCGGATGTTAGCAATGGGAGCATCAGGCTGACCGCTGGTAGTTGAACTGCTCAGACTGGATAATATTGGCGTTTCAGGGGACATACAGACTTGCCATGGATCAGACTATTATCTCATGTCGGTGCTTTTTGGACAGACTTGTCTCCGTATTTGTTTTTTTGTTCCACTTACTAGCTCATAATAGGCTAGACGATCGTGCCAGGACTGGCCACTAAGGACAGTTCCATACTGACTTGTTGTATATTTCGAGCTTCTGGTGATTCGGTGTAATAGTCTGAGTATGCACAACCATCTCCATACGATGGCTAAGACTCTTTAGAAAGTATCCTTCCACGAGGTATAAGGTACGGCTCAACGCCGCATCCACTGGATGCAGTTGTACCATGGCAACGGCGTTTTGCACTTATGCGTGACAGCAAGCTTTCTTTACATATACACTTCACCATCCAATGCCTGAACAGCACCCTGCCGCTCGCAAATGAGTTGGATGAGCGTGGCCATACCAAGCAGAATGCCCGAGTCAGGTCCCTATCCAGGCGCGAGTCGTGTATGTGCAAAGTCTATCAAGAAGAGTGCGAACAGGTGAGAGTCATCCTCCTCAGCCTCGTCTTCGTCATCGTTTTCTTCAAAGCACTCGACGACAGGACTCGTTGTGACAACGCCGTCCAGAGGGCCGTGTTCGTCTAGTTCGACAGTGATCTTATCCTCATGTTCATCCTCTTCGTACAAGGGCACGTCCTTCTTCCGACTCAAGCCAAATTCGTCGGAAGCGGCAAGCCCGTCGTTCAATACAGAGACGCCTTCTGGTGTCCACGCAGCCGTACCTGCACGTACCCAGTTACCTTTATGTATGATAAGGACGCTCCCGCCTATGATGCGTACTTCTGCTTCGGCAAGTGCCACCCAGAGATGTTCGAGTGCCTCGAGCAGGCGCGTGAGCAGAACAAACCGGGAATGTGGAGGTAGGCTTCATTGGATATTATTGGGCGTGGTCATGACATCGCATGGAATCCATATGCGAAATTGTCGAGGACGATCGTGGTCGTTGTTCCGTTGGCTGGTGCCAGCATCAGTTCCGATAAGCGGTGTACGAGGTGGTTTCCAGGCGACGGCACCCCTAGGAATTTCAGGATCCAAAGCAGTAACGATTTCAATCATGACGCAGCCATGGTTGCGACGTCAATGGCTGGCGATACGCCATCACGAACGAGCTAATAAAATGCCCAGTTCCCTAGGGAGGGAGGGCTGGTTTGAGAAGAAACCAGCCATCCTCGGCTGACCGTACGCCTGTCTGTCCACCGACCCGTGAGGAAAGGAGCGCCGGAGGTAGAAGGGTATGGGGTCAATAGGAAGCGATACATGGCAAGAATGATCTTGTCGCCGATCGTACCGCGTCTGCTGACATCGTCAGTGGAAGAGAACGCAATCAGATGGCAAGACCCGACAAGAAGCCCAAATAACACTCATCACCAAAATCGTAGAACAACTGCAGTTGATTTTTGCGGTCCGAGAATTTACAGCAGCAAACCCTGTTCATACCACAACAACAGTACTGCTATCCTTAGTTGGGTTTATTCATTACGGCGTAGCGTGGACTGAGTGGATGCCGAGCACAGATGTGGTGAATGCCCGGCGCATGGACAGTTCATGCGACTGTTAAAAGTCGCATTTCTTGTTATGCCGAGGTTGATACAAAGGAGCAGAAAGTACCTCGGCTAAGCTCAGAGGATGATTGAGACGGTTTCACGATGCGTGAAGATGTAGAGTGGGAAGGTAAGGCGCCGTTCACCCTCCAAAGTCGAAGTCGACAACTTCGACTTCGACTTCGGCAATGTAGTCACGTGATGATTATATAAGCTGTGCACGCCCGCGCGAATGCGAAGTCCAAGTTTCGGGCTTCGTTTTAGTCATGTGATGATTATATAAGACAACAACACAACTTGTGGTTTGATAGATAACATTGTGATAACAGATCAAACAACTCTGCTATGGATCTTGAAGCACAGCAGCTCCAGCACCATTGTTGTCACTGTCTTACTGCACTTGTAGTAGCAGTGATGATCCAGGTGCTATGCCTCTATGACCTCCTTTTTCATTCTGACTCAGAACCAATCCCCTACCATACCTCAATCCTGACTGGTGAGGGGTGGATGCTAGAGCTCCTGAATGGTCATCTAGACAGGATACAGACTTGCCTTGGTGTCAGCCATGGGGTTTTTGATCACCTGATGCAGGTGCTCACCCATCATGGTTTTGTGCCTTCTCACAATGGAATTTCTGTGGAGGAACAACTTGGGATATTCCTCTACACCTGTGTTACTGGGTTGTCATCATGGCATGTTGCTGAGAGGTTCCAACACTCACCAGGGACCATCACTAGGTAGGGAGTTCATTGGACTGTCTGATATTTTTCTCAATTTTTTAGATATTTCAAAGCAATGTTGGCTTTCTTTTCTGGGGGACAATTCTATGCATCCCAAGTGCAATTCCCCACCAACAACACTCCCATATCAACTATGATTACTAGTGACCCATGCTTCTGATTTTTCCAGGATTGTATTGGTGCAGTTGATGGCACTCATATTCAAGCATTCACTGCTGCTGAGGACCAGCTTTACATGAGGAACCAGAAGGGCTACCTATCTCAAAACTGTCTCTTCATCTGTGATTTTGACTTCTTCTTCACATATGCCCTCACTGGCTTTGATGGGTCAACTGCAGATGCAACCATGTGGCATGATGCACACAGGAATGACTTGCACATGCCACCTGGGAGGTACCTTCTTGCAGATGCAGGGTTTGGGACCTGTGATGCACTTCTGGTTCCCTATCAAGGTATTTGTTACCATCTGAAAGAATGGCACCAGGCTGGATTAAGGTAAGTTGCTATTCCATCCTGCTCAGTGTACCTGTAACTTCTACTTTATAGACCTCAAAACCGAGAGGAGTTATTCAACCTTCACCATGCTGGACTTAGAAATGCCATTGAACAGATATTTGGTGTTATAAAACACAGGTGGAGGATTCTTCAAATTCCCCCTGAATATAGCATCCACACCCAAACTCAAGTACCTGCTGCTCTCTGTGCCCTCCACAATTTCATATGGTGCTATGATCCAGAAGAGTTCTTTGACCCTGAACTTGCCATGGACATAGGAGAGGGTGATGGTATTGGAAGCCTTGGTGATGGACCAGCAGATGCTGCAGAGAGGAGAAGGGCTGATAATAGGCATGACAACATTGCAGAGGAGATGTGGATTGACTATCAGCACCAGCTTACAATTAGGGGCCTTCTCTGAGCCTGAACATTCAGATTTCATGGTGTACAAATATATGTTCTTACAATTGTTTCACACTCATGTAGAAAAATAACTTCCATTGTCAAAAGGAAGCTAGTCATAGTCATGTACATTTTATTATGTACATATTTGTATAAAGGGGGGGGGGGTGCATTTGTATATTGTAAAAAAAAAAAAAAACAAACACCTATCCCTGCCCATCCAAGTACTTCATCAGCTGATGCTGCACCCAAATCTGCTTCACCAGCTCCTGATGCTTGAGGAAAATATTCACTTCATCCAGGGACATGCTGAGGAAGTAGTTGCCAGTGTCAATCCAATCATCTGTCAAGAGCTGTGGCATGTTGTTGATGTAGTCCATGGCAGCATCGACAAGGGGATTGGTAATGGGGCAGCAATCACATGCATGAAGTTATTGAGCCTGGAGGTGATGGCAGTGATGAATGAACTGTGATCTTCTTCAGCATGTGCTTTGGCCGACAGGGGCTGAGAATGCTTCAATCCACCTTTGGACATCATGATGGACTTGGCTTTCCTTTTTCTGTGACTGATGCTGGTGATGGCTGATGATGATGACAACCTGGCTGACACATGCAACAAAAAACTTGATGGTGCAGAAGGGGGGATGAAGTTTGGATCCATGGACTGTGTGTCCTTGTGACAGTGAGTGTTGAGAGTGTGCATCATGTCAAGGAGGGAAAGGGAGGGAGGGGGAGTAGGAATAGTTGAAGCAGTGGGGGGTGCAGTAGAGGCAGGAGTATTTAAGGCAGAGGTTGTGGTTGTAGAAGGTGTGGTAGTGGTATGTGGCCAGTAGATAAACCGACCTCAGCCATGCAAGGGGAGAAGGAGCTCTACACTAGTGAAGTGGGGGAACCTGGAATTGTGAAATGGCTTCATGTCTTTGTTCACCTGACTAGATGTTAGTGGATGATCTGACAAGAAAAAAACTACATTACCTTTACATACTGATCCAAAAGGTCGGCATTGTCCAGTGAGACCATTGCACTGTGCTCATCATCATAAGCAAAGCCAGAGGCCACCAATTTAAGATTGGTGATGGCATAGTAGGCTTTTTTAAGCTGGATATTTGTTAGCAAGGCAAAAAAAAAGAATGATATGACAACTTGCCACCTTGAACTTCTGCTCACATGATTCAGCTGTCTTATCACTGTTATCTGGACCCAGTGGATAATTATGAGCCATGTGGGCTGCTGCAGTGTTCCACATAGCCTTCTTAAAGTTCCCATTGCTGGCCTGTGAAAGATGAGAGGCCAAGAAATCCAGTAATGCACCTTCCTCCTATGTTGTCCATACTGCAGCTTTCTTGTGAGTCCTGGGGGGAGGCAGGGGGTTCTGCAGGTCTAGAGGATTGATTGTAAGGCCATGCAAGCACAATGAGCAGGTTTATCCTGCAGATGATTGCAGTAACTGGGTGACAATGGTTGCATACCTCAGGTGGATGCATGTGATAGTTCACATCATGTGACCCTCTTAACTGAAGCTGAAGTCGAAAACTTGGACTTTGCATTTGCAGGGTGAACAGTGCCTAAGTATCTTGAACAGGGATCTGGGGAGAGAGCAGCACTGGTGACTGAAGAAAACAATTGGAACTGTGCAGACATTGCAGGTAAACATGACAGATAACTGGCAGGAGGGGACTACCAAAGGTTCCTGCAAGCTGGGGTTAAGGGTTGGCAAAGCAATAGTCTTCCTATCACTGGCCATGGAATGCAGAGTGTTAGATTTGGCAAGTTGTATGTAGTCCTTTTCCAAATGTGTCCACTCCCAGATGTGAGAATTACTTTCGGTTTTAAGGCTTTTTATACTCCACATTACTATTGAGCATGCAATTAACTTTTGTGCCCTTATACTTATTGTGTTTACAGTGTTTTGCATTTATGTGTGTGTTTTCTTATCACTTATGAATAATGTAGCATGTCTCAAACAGACTGCCCTTGTCATATAAATTGTGGATTCAACATTCGCAGGTTTCAGTATTGTAATACCTACAGTATTTAGTCTCGCACAGTAGATTTGTCACCTCAAACATTGTCACTACTCACACACAACTGAGTATACTTCATGTTGGTGCACAGTGTGCAAACAGTGTGCCATCCTGTTTACACTGAGTTGATTAGGTAATATGTTAGGTACTTAACTTACACTTTGTCTTACCTTACACCTCAGACTTTGTCATTTCAAGTCTGAGGTACAGTGTCTTTTCACCACTACAGTATACCTTTTTTTTTTACTCACTACCTACACAGTCTTGTGTCTAGGTTAGTATCTAATATGGACTTTGTCATTTCAAGTCTGAGTCTTGTGTCTAGGCTAACTTGAGTAGCCTTCTGCTCTCACCCTACCCACAAAAGGTTCTGAGCCCTGAGCTCAAAGCATTCTAGTTATACAGCTTCTTGACCTATGAACCCTACTTACAAGTCTCAAGCATCTACAGAAATGAGTAGCTCTACTTCTGCACCACCCTCTGCCTTGTCACTAGGTCCCTCACAGCCAAAGTCATCCTTGCAAACACTCTCCTTGGCCTCTACCAGGTCTAAAAACCCCTCCAGTTGACTCTATGATGTTCCATCACTAGAAAATGATGGCTCTAACTTCCACACCTGGAAATACAGAGTTTGGATGGTACTCAACATCTGTGGCCTCAAGGAAGTTGTCAATGGAAACTTTACAACTGCTCCTGACCCAAAAAATGACCCTGATGGTCATGCAGACTGGGAAGAAAAGGACCAAGAAGCATGTGCCCAAATTACACTCACTGAAGGATGAACCTCTCAGTGGAATACTCTATGCCTCAACAGCACATGAGATCTGGAAGTGACTTCACAAGCAATATGAAGGACATGGAAAACAGACAATAGCCTATGTAATTGGCAAGCTCTTTCATGGAACTCTAACAGATGAAACCTCTATGCAAAGTCAGCTCATCTCCATGCAGCAGAAAGCACAAGTGATTAAGTCACTCAGCCAACCACTCAATAAATCTCTAGTAGCCATAGCCATGGTAATCTCCCTGCTTACCCTCCTATTCAAACCTTACAAACAATCCTCATGTCATCAGACAACAAGCTATCTGTCAAAACAGTCATATCACAGGTCTTAGTCAAGGAAAAGTTGTGCCAGGTTTCTGAAGGCCATAACACACTTGTGGCTAACACAACTTCTCATCAGAAAGGAAAGGCAAAGAACAATGAGAAAAAGAAAGGGAAATGTACTTACTGCAAATATCACAGGCATGACAAGTCTGAATGTCAAAAGAAAAAGGCTGATGAAACTAAAAGCAATGTGTCAGAAGAGAAAGGCAAAAAGATGGAGGAGCATACAGCCAACTTTGCAAGCTTAACCTCCAGTGACAATGAACCTCTTTGCCTCTTTTTCACACAGCAACAAGACAGTTTCTTGCAATCACACTGGGTCCTTGACTCTGGTGCATCTGTGAACATCTGTTGTTGAACAGAATGGTTCTCACACCTCAAACCTCTCTTGCCTGCTCAAGAGATAATCACACTTCATCTTACAGTGGCTCACAAAATTGTCCCAGTGTTTGCATGTTTTCATTAATCATGATGTAGCAAGTGAACTATCATTATTGAGTCCAAGGTGTTGGTGGAAGGATCAAAGCAGCTGGTCATGGCTCTCTGATGAGCCATATTACATAATATTTGGATAGAAACTGATGACAGAATACCCAAATGAAAATGAGAGCTCATTGGGACAATTTTGTAACTTTGTCATATACATGGGATGTAGTCCTTGGGAACACATATAAAACATGGTGAGGTGCTCACCAATGTTTACATAATGTATCACATGGTGAATGATTTGTCAACAAGCAAACAGTGCCAAACAGTGATTTTGCACCACTAAGCCTCCTTGCTGTAACACAAGTCAAGAAATCACCATTCTGGCTCATCAGGGACATTCTCTCAGGGCAACCTCAGCAAATGTGGCCTACCTTGCTCCCTTTGGGGTGAAGCAGTGCATCATGGTGTTTGGTTGAAACACAGGACCCCCACCAAAGCACTTGATGGTGGGACACCTCTTGAAGCTGTGACTGGGAAAAAGCCAGACCTCAGCCAAGCCTGCACATGGGCCTCAAGTGTCTGGGCACATACTGAGGGAGGAACCAAGCTTGGAGGATGCATCACAGAGGGCCAATGGGTTGGGATTGATGACAACAGCCCAAATAGCTGTCATGTATACTGGCCTGAAAAGAAGTCAGTCACTGTTGAAAGAAATGTGTGCTGGAACCCCTCCTTGGCTGAGCCATTACCTCATGAGGGGGAGGAAGAAGATGGCTACTTACCAAATGTGATGCTAACATCTTCAGCACCTGTCGAGGAGACCAAAGCAACCCCAACCCTTCTGCACACTGCCACAGCTCATCCCCCAATCCCATTGCCTCCAGCAAAACCACCTGTCATGAAATGAATTTGAAAGTCTAGCCAAAGTCTTGTGGGAATCCTTGCTGGCAAGGGAAGCACAAATTGCCATGGTGTACCTGAAATACCTATAGGAGTTCAGCTCCCTACTGTCATCAAAGATCAAGTCAACCCTGCCAGACCTGAAGGGGAGGATGGAGCCACAGCCCTGCTTGCATCCATCATAGAAGACCTGGATGACATTCTTTGCAACATTGACCTTGCAATGACCATGGATGAGGTTACTGCCAAGACAGAAGCCCTTGAGCCCAGCTTGCCAGCTGAAGCTTGCTGTCGCCTTGACTGGCCACAATGGCAAGAGGGGATCAAAGAAGAGTTAAAGACACTGAAAGATGCAGGTACCTGGGAACTCATTGACTTACCCCCTGGTGCCAACATCATAGGTTCCAAATGGGTTTTCTGTGCTAAGAAAGATGCTGCTGGAAATGTTGTGTGATATAAGGCTAGACTCGTTGCACAGGGCTTTTCACAGTTTGAAGGAGTTGATCACTTCAACATGTTCACACCAGTGTCAATGCTTGCATCAAATCTGTGTTGTGCTTGCAATGGCTGCTTGCTCTGATCTAGAGCTCCATCAGATTGATATCAAGGGAGCATATCTAAATGGCATGCTCACCAATGATGAAGTAATCTATTTGTGCCAGCCCCTCAGTTTTGAATCTGTTGTCCATCTGTGCAAAGTCTGTTGTCTTCACAAGATGCTGTATGGCCTAAAGCAGAGTGGCCATTGCTGGTACCAAAGATTAGTGGAGATATTAGTAGACAAGCTGAAATTTACCCAATGCTCTGTCAACCAAGCCATATACTTCCAACATCATAACCCTGGTGAGCTCATGATCATCATTGTACATGTTGATGACTGCACCATCACTGCAATGCTTCTAAGTGAAATCAAGGAGCTTAAAGTAGACATCAGGAAGCATGTCAAGATCACTGACCTTGGTGAGCTCCACTGGTTGCTCAGGATAGAAGTAATGAGAAATAGAAATGAATGTTCCATATCATTATGCCAGTGACCCTACATCAAGTCAATTATCCATCATTTTGGCTTCAATGAGCTCAAGCCTGTGTCAAATCCCATGGAGCCTAGTACCAAGCTTCACTTGGGTCAGTCACCCTCCACTGGTGCTGAATATGCTGTGATGAAACATCTACTGTACTGCAAAGCCATTGGTTCACTGATGTATGCCTCACTTGGTACTCATCCCAACATCTCATACACCATGACCACTGTCTATCACTTCTCTGGGTATGCATTCCTAATCAACAGCAGAGTGGTATTGTGGTCTTCAAAACAGCAGGAAATCATTTCATTGTTGACAATGGAGAGCAAGTACATGGCAGCCACCCATGTGGCCAAGGAAGCCTTATGGCTTTGGTTGCTCATCAGAGAGTTATTTGGGCCACTCATTGAGCTGACCACATTATTCTCCAATAACCAATCTGCTATCACACTCATGAAAGACCATCAGTACCTTGTGCACACCAAACATATTGACATACATTTCCATTTTATCTGCTGGGTCATCAAAAATGGCAAGATCTGTCTGATCTATTGCCCCACCACCAATATGATTGCAGACACCTTGATGAAAGCCTTTCTGTCACCCAAAGTGAAGCATTGCCATCAAGCTCAGTCTACATCCAACTTGAGGGGGAGTGTTATATTTGGCAAGTCATACATAGTCCTTTTCCAAATGCATCCACTCCGAGACATGAGAATTACTTTCCATTTTAAGGCTTTTTATATTCCACATTACTATTAAGTGTGCAATTAACTTTTGTGCCCTTATACTGGATGACTTTCTGTAGGCTGAAATATTCATTACTATAATAAATTTGAATAGATTTTTCTCCATAAGGCAGGTGTGCTGCAATGCTGAGCTGTGTTGTACAGCAGATTAAATCTGAGCACCCTTGAATAAACCTTAATCTGTGAGGAGGGGGTAGACCCCCTGAATAGATTTTCTAATGAGGAGTAAACTCAGGATTACTATATTGAGCCACTACTCCTACCACATGACAGTTATGTCAGCAACATGTCCATGTCACCTTTTGACCTCCTCCAGCTATCCATGCTTTTCAACATCAATGGAAGCCATGCACAGTGTGTACAAACCATATTTCATGGACATAATGTTGTTATGCAACCCATTCCAGGGCACCTAGTGCTCAGAGGCCATCATCAGAGCACATGGTGTGCAACAAGAATGAAAGCAACCCTGCCAACTCTGATGCCACAAATCAATGCTCATGAGGTGATTCTGTCCATATTCCACATGTCTCTAACATTTTTTCTTGTTTTTAGCAAGATCACTGTTCATGATCATGACACCTATGTCCAGAGAATGCACACCACATGAGCAGGATGACAACCAGGCACTGTTGGTACTCTCAACAGTACATATTCCTTGTATTTATGCTTTCTAGCCCTAGTATCTGGTATGTAGCTTTACTACTGAAGAATGCAAGACCATATGGTGCATAGGAGTACCAAAGGTTTAAAAGCTGTCTGGCTTGGGAGAGGTGAGCCTGTGCTCTGCATTCTGTCACAACTGGCTGGCTCACACTACTTCTATGGCTGCTACTGGTCAGATTTCCAACCCACCTATGCCATCTGGTGATATCAAGTATGATGATGGTGGAAATCCCTTTGTGCATGATTCAAGTGGTGCATGGATCCCACACCTGATTTCTCAAAGGTATGTCTGTTATGATTTCATGCAACCACATAGTCACTTTTAATTACAGCAGCCTGTTCATCATGTGCTCCAACTGGATCACTACCAAGCTGCCTGCACCACCCAAGGGCCTGATGAGCCTGTTGAGCATGCATTTGAGGTCAGTGTACATGCATTTAAGGTTTCCAGCTTCTGAACAGCAATTACAGCACCAAGGCATGCATCCAGGTAGTTTGTGGGTTCCATCAATGTCGCCTGCAATTTCCAGCATCTGCCCCTGCCTGCCATAGATCCTGCACTCATGCCACTCCCATCTGGTCGAGATGATGATCTTATTATTCCATCCTTGATTGCCCAGTCCCAGGGGAGAGCTGCTTCCCCAAAAATTGCTGGCTCATGTTGCCCTGCCAAGGGTGGTTCTAGTGTAAATAAAAGTAGAGCATCTAAGGGAAAAGAGAAGGGGAGTATAGGCATGCCAAGGTCAAAGAAGTGGCAACAGGATGTCATTGACTTGGATGATGAAGAGGAGATGAAGGTGAAATGTGGCCAGCCTCAAGGTGCTGGAAATTACTCCATTGGTGATATGAATGCACTACTTGAGTATGTTGAATAGGAACTTCCACTTGGACAATGGGGATGGCAGGTTGTCACAGCCAAGTTCAATAAGTGGGCTTTGAAGCATGGACAGCCTGATTGAAAGACAATGTCCCTTGAGACAAAGTTTAAACAGGTGCAAAATAGGTGTCTAAGTCTATGGTCTATCTCTCATGTTCTTCAGCTTGTCAGAACACCCAAGCCAACAAGAACAGGTGTCTGTCCCCCTGAGGTCTTGCAAGCCCATCATGTTGATGATCTCATTAACAAGTGGGCAGGAACTTGTGAACTGAATGATTCTGACTTTGAAGATGTGGCTGAGAAGCCTGACAGTTCTGATGAAGACAAGGACAATGTGAAACCTGATGGAAATACATCTCATATGGCTGTTGCTTGTGCAACTTGGACAGAAGCTCCCTCCACTCATCATAACACATGAGGTGTTGCTGCTGCTGAACTGATGTCTCACCTTTCCACTGCCTTTGATCCAGAAGTTGAAAAGGCACACAATGAAGAATGCAGCAATTGTGCCCTTGTGACCGCCCAGTACTTGACACTTTCACAGCAGCTCTGCGATGCACAGCTGACAAATGATAAATTACACAGCAAAATATTTGATCTTTGCAATGAGCTGTATGAGATGCAGCACAAATATGATCATGCTCAAATGTGATATGAGATGCTTAAAATGACAGGTACTCAGCATTGTCAACCAATCAGGATGTACCACAATCAGCCTAAGCACAAACACCAGGGATACAGGTGGTTCGCAGATGGTGGTGAAGTGATTGAATGGCTACCAACAAATGAAGAAGAAGCTAATTAGAACAGAGATGGGTACCATGCCCCAGATACCATTGCTGAAGCCAGCACAAGTATGTCATCCACATGAGCTTTAATGCTGCAAACTAAACAAAGTACAGGTAAAGAAAAGTTCTCCTTTGGGGACAGTTCTGAAGTCAAGTAGTGCTTGTAGTTACATGCACTGCAATGTCAAGTGGAAGTGAGAGACTCAATCCTTCCTTACTTGATCAGGAAATAGCATATCTCTAAACCCCATCCATACTTCTATATCTTCTTTGGTCTCCTGCCAATGCTTTAGATATACTGATCAGATTTGATTGATTCCAACCTTCTCTGCTTGAACATTGTGAAGTCGTAACCAAGTCTCAATTAGGTTCCCATGCTTTGCTTCATCATTGATGTTTAGTGGCACTTGAAGTCTTCCAAATGAGCCTTGAATGGCTTGCATGCCCCACTCTGCAGTTTGTTGGTATGAGAGTAGTTCTCAATTAAATGCCATAGCCTTGGCAATCTGGTCAGCTGTTCCCACAACCTGTTGACCCTCTTTCAAAGGTGTGCAAATCCACCCCACAATGTCTGCTGTGCCTCAGGGGAATGCAGTGTCAGCAACAAGGTAAAATCCATCTGGTGTTTTCCTCCATAGTGTTCCATATATGGGTAGGGACACTCAGGAGTCATGCCAGCTACCTGGAGCATTAATATTTGCACCAATGATCAGTCCTTTATAAGTGTCAGTTTGTGTTGGCATTGTAATTTGGATATTGAATATACACTACCTTTGGATGAGAATACAATCACTGAGCTAACAAAATGTTTGGACAACCAGCCATTAAATGTAGCATTCTCAATATCAAGATCATCCAATGTTTTGACAGGAAGCTTCAGTCCATCAATGCTTCCAAAGGCTCCATGAAGTCTTGGGTGTTGCTGAGTCACCAGCTCTGACAGCTTCTCAAACTCTCTGGGCTGTGGCCAATGGATCTGGGCTTTTGGCATATTACAAAGTGTTGAAAGTAGGATTTGGAGTCCAAATGTAATACAGTGGCTCACAAAATTGTCCCAATGTTTGCATTTTTTTAATTAATCATGGTGTAGTGAGTGAACTATCATTATTGGGTCTGAGGTGTTGATGGATGGATCAAAGTGCCCAGTCATGGCTCTCTGATGAGCCATATTACATAATATTTGGATAGAAACTGATGACAGAATACCCAAATGAAAATGAGAGCTCATTGGGACAATTATGTAACTTTGTGATGCTGGGGATGTAGTCCTTGGGAACACATATAAAACATGGTGAGATGCTCACCAATGCTTACATAATGTATCACATGGTCTACTGAATGATTTGTCAACAAACAAACAAAGCCAAACAGTGATTTTGCACCACTAAGCCTCCTTGCTGTAACACAAGTCAAGAAATCACCATTCTGGCTCATCAGGGACATTCTCTCAGGGCAACCTCAGCAAATTCTGGTGAACACTATAGTATAATCAATAGAATATGCCATCAGCACCATTGGTCACTTCACACACCTGCTGACAGTTATCTCCTGCACTGTTTCCCCACCAATGCCACATGTGTCCTAGAACTATCAGTACTGTGAGAGCTGAGAATGATGTGGAGGTCCAATCTGGCATTCATCCTATCATAAATAAACCAATCACCCACTAACTACTACATCACAGCTGAAGAAAAGCCTGCCTGAAGGCTCAGGTGAAGCACAACCCTCCTGGGCACTCCCAGTATCATGGGAGGGTTGGCCTGACTGTACTCTGAGCTGAACTGGGGATCACTGGGAAGGAGTTATTTGGTCATATAAGACTAAAGAAAATATCCAGTGCCAGATAGAAGGCCATGAATGTGCAACCTGGTGGTTCAGTAGCACATCCCTCCTCATGGTACCTGGAGTGTGAGAGGGTTTAGCTTCACCCTGACCTCCATACCAGTTTCCCCTTCACAGAAATGCACTAGTTAATGGGTGATTTGTTTGTTTATGATAGGATGAATGCAAGATTGGACCTCCACATCATTCTCAGCTCTCACAGTACTGATTAGTTCCAGGACACATGTGGCATTGGTGGGGAAACAGTGCAGGAGATAACTGTCAGCAGGTTTGTGAAGTGACCAATGGTGCTGATGGCATATTCTATTGATTATACTATAGTGTTCACCAGAATTTGCTGAGGTTGCCCTGAGAGAATGTCCCTGATGAGCCAGAATGGTGATTTCTTAACTTGTGTTACAGCAAGGAGGCTTAGTGGTGCAAAATCACTGTTTGGCTTTGTTTGTTTGTTGACAAATCATTCAGTAGACCATGTGATACATTATGTAAGCATTGGTGAGCATCTCACCATGTTTTATATGTGTTCCCAAGGACTACATCCCCAGCATATCACAAAGTTACATAATTGTCCCAATGAGCTCTCATTTTCATTTGGGTATTCTGTCATCAGTTTCTATCCAAATATTATGTAATATGGCTCATCAGAGAGCCATGACTGGACACTTTGGTCCATCCACCAACACCTCAGACTCAATAATGATAGTTCACTCACTACACCATGATTAATTACAAACATGTAAACATTGGGACAATTTTGTGAGCCACTGTATATTGAGATGCTGTGCTTGGGATGATGGCAAATATTTGTTGTAGGCTGATCTCTGTCATTGTCAAGTTGAGATGGTGTAACACAAGACCAAGGGCACCAGCTGCATCCAGAGATTGGCACTGTGGGTGTGGATCACCATGGGTAGATGTATCATCTCAAGGGATAGGCATATGGTACCATGCAGCAGCAAATCCAGAGATCAGGATGTGACCAAAGGTTTCCATATCAAATCCCATGGTTGTGATGAATGCTCAATCATCCTGGTTATCAAAAAGCACCTGCTATGGTGTATTCAGGTGTGGATTGGGTAATAATTGAGATCAGCAAAGGTAGAGCTGGGTTTGATGGCAGTTTTCAATCTGTACTTTTCACCCTACTTCAGCCATTGCAAGTATTGTAGCTGCACATAGTGCACCATCATATTCTTCATCCTCCATTCCATCTTCATCCTCAGTAGCAGCAAGCAAGTTGTTAAAATTGTCAAGATAGGTAGGATCAGACATCATCAAGAGATGAGTGTTGATATAGATATGATATATTCAAATTATTCTACCCTTTTAGCCCACAGTTTATTTGTCTGAATAAACACTTTGATTATATTAGAGTTCTGTCTAGTTTGTAGCTCCAAGGTATTATATTTGGGATTATTTCAGCTTGTGGAAAGTCATCCACTTATTGTGTTTACAGTGTTTTCTATCACTTGCAAATAATGTAGTGCATCTCAAACAGACTGCCCTTGACCCCATGTAGTCCATTTGGTCACAACATATAGGTAGCCTGCATGCCAAAATGCCAACACTTATATAGACCCCACAATGGGCCCATCTAAGTAGATTAGCCATGACACATGGACAGGTCTGAGGGCCTATAGTGAGAGCAACATATGTATGGGCCTGTAAGTACAATTCCACAACATATGGGAGGGCCTGTGGAGGGTAAGGATGCTGCAACATATAGATGGTCCCATGACCAAGTAAGTATGCTGAGCTACTGTAAGACATGGATGGGCCTGTCCATGGTAGGGTGTGCCCCAGTCACAATATCAGGATGGGCCCACCTATTGTATCATGAAGAAGGTTGCAACATATGGATGGGCCTGCCCATCATATGTTTATAGGGTCACAACATAAAGAGGGGCCCCTCTATGATAGATTACAGAGTTGGCAACATATGGAAGGGCCCATCTTTGGGATAATATACCCTTGTCACAACATATAGACAGGCCTGTCCATAGCAAGATGTATGCCTGCTGCAACATAAGGATGGGCCCATCAGTAATATCATTGACAGTGTCACAACACCTAGATGGGCCCATCTAGTAAGATGCACCCCTGTCACAACATAAAGACAGGCCCATCAGTAATATCATTTATAGCATCACAACATATGGAAGGGCCCTTCAGCAGTATCATTTATGTGGTCACAACATAAGGACAGGCCCTTCAGCAGTATCATTTATATGGTCATAACATATGGATGGGCCCCTCAGTAATATCTTTTATATTGCCATAAAACAAGGATGGGTCCATCTAGTAAGACCCACCCCTGTCACAACATAAGATGGGCCCAACAACAATAGCACATATAACATCACAACATATTGATCAGTGTAGGAATAGGTAATAGAAGATACCTAGAAATAGTAATTATCAGTAATGGGTGAGTATTTGTGCTCAACCCAAAAGGGAGGTCCTGTGTGGAGAAAGAAAGGTGTAGTAAAAAGGTAAAAATGCGAACTAAAATGAAGACTTAGCTCTGGGATGTCTTCCTACTGATCTAAATGTCTTGCCAGTCCTCCTGGCCCTTTGGGTACTCCCCAAAGTAATAATTCTATCCTCAAAAACTTGCTGAAATGTGAGACAAAATCACCCTACTACTGAGGGCCTGTGACATGAATTGGTTTCCTTTTGGTAAACTGAATGCATGCAAACACAGCACATGTGCTTAGTCAGCAACATGGCTGCTTGCCACCAAGTCCAGTGGTACAAACACAAAAACAAAAGCAAGAAATAAAACACAAATCCCCCAACCCCTATTTTCTTCCAACCAGGACAACTTCTCCTAGGGAACTCAAACTCATTCCCTACATCCAAGGGGTGGTTTAGAATTTGACCATCCTCAGTTGCTCTTCTCCTCACACAGACATCCTCACCCTTTCATCTGCTTCCCTCAAACATGGCTCCTTGCCCTCTAACTTCTTGAACCTTGCACCTCTGAACACAGCTCCTTCCACCCAGAACCACCACCTGGCCTCTCGAACATGCACCCTGCTTCTCAAACCCCTCACCCTCCTCGCAGACGACCCCTTTGACCCTCAATTACTCCACAGCCCCCAAGTTCCTTGAACTGAATGACCACAGAGGTAACTCTGAGCATGCGAGCAAGTGAGTAATAAATTGAGTGTGGAGCAAGTCAAAGACTGCTCTTTGAGGCACAGTCTTTGCATGAAACAGTAACACAGTGCAACACAGTGCTGCAGCTGGTACAGCAGAGGTTGGCCTTTATGAGGCAGTTTGAAGACATGTATGTACCTAAAAAAAAAACACCCACTCAGTCATGTATTTACCATCCTTATATGCATATGTGCTCTTGACTCCTGTTGTCCTTAAGGCAATCTAGCACATAAGAAAAGTGAAAGAAAATTGAAACTAGATGTCAGGGTGAGTAGAATCACCTGAAGACTAGTGCAACTCAGTTGAACAAAGTCACACAAGGTAAAATTCATATTAAAGAAAACTATATATCAACACACTCACTGGGACTTTTGCTATACTGTCCTCTTCATTCTCATTTTTGCAGCCTCAGCCCTCTGCACATGCATGCACTCAATTCCTTGTACTTTGTCTGGCACTTTGTCTGGGGGCTGAAGCCCTTGCACTAAGTATTGCTGAGTGACCTCAAGTTGCCCATCTTGGTTTGTTACTTTCTCAGTCCTAGAAACACAGTATCTCAGCATAGTATATGTTTGAAACAAAGTAAAACATGTCACCTTGGATCTGTAGATTCTCATGTCTCTCTGATAGACTGGTCTTCGATGCCAATGGGCATTGATGCTAATGTCACTTGAACTGAGTCATCGGCCTTCTACCTCTAAGTCAGTTGGACAGAGCCTTGGTGCTAAGTGTCGACAAATGGCCTCGAGCCATCTGTCCTCATCGATCTCCTTGTCTTTTGCACTAGGGACACTGTGCCTCAGCGTAGCATATGTTCAGAGCAAAATAGAACCTATCACCTTGAATCTGCAGGCTTCCTTGCTAAGCTTCTCTTCCAGTGTGGCTACCCTTGGGTCTGCATCTCGTCATGCTCATTCCAGCTTTGCACATCACTCCTGTAGCAACCTTTCATGCCATGTGGGACCCCCAGTTTCTTCTTTGAGGGATTCTACTCTACACAAACCAGCCACTGCTTTGTTCAACACCAACCTTGGGATGCTTTTGCAGTTGTGCTTCTTCTCAACCCTGAAAATCTTACCATCTTCCTTCATCGCCTGCCCCTTGCATTCCCTAACCAGTGTAGCATACCCAGCAATTCGGTCTTCACGACAGAGACTCCATGCATGAGTCTCTTCAGTTCATTCTTCCTGGCTCCTGCTACAGCTCCATCTGGTGGTCTTCACCTTCAGCAAACTTCGAAACTTGAAACAAACATGAAACCCCAGGCCATCGAGCCCAGTCAGTGTGTCTCCTAAGTCCTTTGCATGCTGCATGTCCTCTCATATCATTGAAGTCTGTTGTGGTAGTTGCAAACATGATTGACCTTGTCTCATGTAGTTTCACATTGCTTTGTCATATCTGTCACTCACTGTTCCCAGCCTGCACATGTTCATCTCAGGCATAGCTTCCATTCTGAGTGAAGTGAATGACACCACCTTTGAACCTTCACCCCACTCATAATAAAACTGTTGGATCATGTTGTGTTGCTTTGATTCTTTGGTCTGTCGTAGATACCAGATTTCCCTATAGTAACGTAGCTGTAAGTGAAACGACACAAAACAAAAGAGAAAGAATTAGTTGTTGAGCTCAGCACATGAACATCAGTAGACCACTTTGTGAGCTGGTAGTCCTAGGGAATCTGTCCAGTGCTGGACAGCTCTGGACAGCTCTGGCCAGCAAAAGTGATTTACTGATGTTTGAAGAAAAAACTGAACTTTGGGCCTTTGAGCCCACTTGGCATGGCTTCAATGCTCCTCACTGAACATCCATCTTGTCATGATTCTGAACTTTGGTATTGCACTGCTACTTGTAGTGGCTCTTGCAAGTGAGCCTGTAAGGTTCCCTTGAATGCTTCTCATCAGGCATCTTGTAGTTGTCATGGTTGTCCTGTCATGTATCAACACATTCCTTCTTCAATGTCATTGTCTACCCTAGAATAATGTACTTGTAAGTAAAGAGCTGCAAAACAAAAGTAAAAACCTGAGCCATCAGGCTCCATATCCATGCTCATCAGATGTTGTATCCTCAATGATCGCCATGGTAGTTCAAGTTGTAGTCTTCACTCTTGTCTTGTCATACTTAGTTCATAGTTAGCTGTAGATTCTTGAATCACAGTCACCAGTACATCGGTCATGCTTTGCTGCACACTCTTACTTTCCCTAGGATAGTGCAGATGTAAGTAAAATGTTTCGAATTCAAACCGCAGACCCTTCAGTCACCTGTAGGCCTGAAAGTGGGTCATCTGACATGTACATTTTGTCCTAAAAGTGGGACTAACCGATGTCAGCCAATGGTGCCCAAAGGTGGGTAGGCCAGTGTGTGGAAGTGGGGTCAGCCGACCTGTTTGGAGGATGGTCCCACTGCCTAGAAGTGGGTTTGGCTGACCTGTTTGGAGGGTGGTCCCAGTCCCTGGAAGTGGGGTTGGCCGACCTGTTTGGAGGGTGCACCCACCTCCTGGAAGTGGGGTCAGCCAACCTGGCTGGAGGGCAGACCCAGTGCCTGAAAGTGGGGTCAGCCGACCTGTTTGGAGGATGGTCCCACTGCCTAGAAGTGGGTTTGGCCAACCTGGCTGGAGGTTGGACCCAGTGCCTGAAAGTGGGGTCAGCTGACCTGGCTGGAGGGCAGACCCAGTGCCTGAAAGTGGGGTCAGCTGACCTGGCTGGAGGATGGTCCCACTGCCTGAAAGTGAGGTCAGCCAACCTGGCTGGAGGTTGGACCCACTGCCTGGAAGTGGGTTGGCCAACCTGGCTGTAGGTTGGACCCAGTGCCTGGAAGTGGGGTTGGCCGACCTAGCTGGAGGGCAG